CCGAGCGTGTACCTAGTGGTACCGAGCATGTACCGCTTAGTACCGAGCATATACTTGCTCAGTACCGAGCGGTTCTGGCTCGGTACCGAGCATGAACTGAGCGGTACAAGCTACTCAATAATTATTATTAATACTATTAATTATATATTTAATAATATATATTTTAATTTATATTAATTAGGCTAATTATATTAATATTTAATTAATAATTATATTACTAATTAGTCAATTAATTTATGCACTAATTATACTATTAAGTATTAATTATGCGTCTAGGGTTTGCCTTTCATCTTCTCTTTTCTTCCTTGTTGTTCGGCTTCGTTGCTTCATAGGAGGTGTAGAGATTACACGCGTCGCTTGCTCCTTTGTGGCTGTTCGACTGCGCTCCTTTGACGACTTTCCCTTCCTGTCGGATCATAAGTTACGACATTTTGATAAGAAGAAACAACGGAGCTCGTTGACTCGCTGGCTTTGAAGGTAACTTTCTCCCTTTCGAGGCACTGTCTCGATACGCCTCGGCGCCTCACGTATTAAGGCGTACGCCTCCGTGGAAAAAGGCGTAAGCCTTGCCCGGACGTTCGAGGCTTAAGCCTCAGTTCGCCCGACCTCCGCCTCGATTCAAGGCGTGCCTTAAGGCGTCCGCCTCGAACGCCTTTTTAATCGATGTTAGCAGTAGGTTGTAAGTGTTACAATATTCCCACGACCGACCACTATTCAATGGTCAGCAAATACGCCGATCCATCATCGCAGTTAATGATAAGTGATTATTAGGCGAATACATCAACCCCTTAGCAACCAGAAGCAAGTGACATGCAGCAAATGCAAGTGTCTACGGGCCGCTATAGAAGACCCGTCGTGCACTGAACATGTCACCGACGGGCCAATACAAGATGGTTACGACAAACAGAAGCTTCTACGAACTACCGCAGAAGGCCCATCATATATCCAAAAGTGCCCCACACATGCACTATAATATGTATACACACAAACACAAGAAATGCATGTGAAATCATGCACTCGTACGGGCCCTGACGAGCATGTCATATTTACACACATGATATCTAAGGATGTGTGCAGGTCAAGAAATAAACTTAAGTTTAAGTCCAATCCTTCTCCTTGATAGAATGAGAGTCGACATGACTTGAACCTATGAGCAAATATATGATTGCGACATCGACCGAGGTATTTGATTTAATATGTTTATATTAGGCCTTCAAGGCCTATAACAAGAAAAAATCACTAATAAAAGCACTAATCCGGCAACGAACTCGATCCTCTGTTAGTAATTAGAAAGAGTTGACAAGGTTCAACCGATAATATTCAGAAATGCCTCATAAATATCCGCATGGCCTCCGACGAGTGTGTTATAAGTACAAGCATGACGTCTAGGGATACTGCGCAGGTCAAATGATAAACTTAAGTTCAAGTTAAATTCTCCTCCTTTATAGGGAGAGTCGACATGACTTGAACCAATAGAAAAATATATAATCACGGTATCGATCAGGATATTTGGTTTTATACGTTCATATTAGGCCTTCAAGACTAAAAATTCATTAATAAAGACATAAAGTCGACAACTAACCTGATCCTTTGTCAGCAAATCAACAAAGTCGATAAGTTTTAATCCATAAATGAAATTGTCCATAACAAGCTCGATGATTGGTCGTGTTAAACATAGATCTCAATCAGAGGAGTTAGTTTCAAACACTTAAAGTGTCACCTCACAAAATTCAACGCTATAAAAATATCAAAAATCTAAATATTCAAAATTAAAATAAATCACCAAAATGGTTAAAGCAAAATACATCCACCCTCCGCAACAGTTTGCCGATGTGGAAAAGTTTGAAAATATGCTTCAGCTTTCAAAGAGTTAATGTCTGATCAAAAATATCATTAGGATTATTTCTCAAACAGTCTCTTGCCAGCAGGGACGTGGCACGTGTCCTCTAACGACAATTTTGTCGTTAAATGGCACCACAGGTAAACTGTTATGACTGGGCCCTCTAAATTGGGTGGTTTGCCGCCAAATGGCACAACTAATCTATGTCATGGCTAGAGCCTGTATGCTCCCCAATGATACTAAATTCTTGAAATATAAATTAATAGGATATAATAGATAGAGCCCAAAGCCCTCTGTTAGCTAAGGTGGATTCAAATTTGTCCCCTTAGACAAATATTCACCCTAGGTCTACAAGGTATCCTTGGACGACGCAACCCATGGTTGCCGACAAGAATTCTTTTGGCAGGTTGGGTCAACTACCTCCTCTGACCCAATAAACCAGGGACAATGATGACCCGGGATGATGGAACCATGGGATCTTGATCGGATCCATCATCATTCCCCCCACCATCCGCTTTAAGTGCATGATAGTGAAATTTCTATTTTTAAATGTTAAATTTTCAAATACCAAACCCATACTGCTACTATGCTAGATAACATGTATCTCTATGTATCGGATCGACGACTAGCCTTAATCGAAAGTTCTCTCTCGTTATCTGGATGGGAAATTAACTATAGGGGTTTGCGCCTATGCGAAATTAAAACTCAGATCTAAAGTCCTCACAAAATGAGGGCGAAATTTCTGGGTAGTGTCTTATCTACAAATCCAATATTCCTTCTGAAAATTTACCCCATAACCTATTTTTTTCAAACTCCCCCGAAGCAAGAGAGGCTGGGGTGCAAATTTTTGGAGCCCACAATAAGAAAGGGGTTAATGATGCTTATATTCAAGTCATTAAAGATATGTATGCAGGAGATGTTACTTGTGTTCAAACACAAGGTGGTTTGACCAAGTATTTTTCTATTTCAGTTGGATTACATCAAGGATCAGTCTTAAGCCCATATCTTTTTGCTTTGGTCATGGATGTTCTCACTAGCATTTGCAAGAGGTTGTACCCTGGTGTATGCTTTTTTCTGATGAAATTCTTCTTGTTGATACGACTAGAGAGGGAGTTGAAGTTAAACTTGAATTATGGAGGTTAATCTTAGAGTCTAAAGGCTTTTGTTTGAGTAGATCTAAAACTGAATGTATGGAGTGTAATTCTAGTAATAATAGATCTAGTGGGGGGATTGTGACTTTAGCCGATCAAGTCATTAATAAGAGTACACACTTTAGATATCTTGGGTCTATTGTTTAGAGTAATGGTGAAATAGATGGGGATATTATTATTAGAATTTTCAAGTTGGATAGTTGAAGTGGAGGAATGCATCAGGCTTATTATATGATAGAAAAGTCCCTCTCAAACTTAAGAGAAAATTCTATAAGATGGTAGTGTGAACTACAATGCTTTGTGGTGCAGAATGTTGGCCATTAAAAGAGAAGCATAATATTAAGTTAAGTGTTGTAGAGATGAGGATGCTCGGGTGGATGAGTGACTTTATTCTTAGAGACATGATACGAAATGAGCATATACGTGAAAAGGTTCGAGTAGCTCTAGTGGAAGATAAGATTAGAGAGAGTCATTATGATGACATTTCTTTATTAGATTTAGATGAGAATTTGACTCTTAATAAGACACAATTAAGAAAAAAAGATTCATTTAGATGACCCCACATAATGGGATAAAGTCTTATTGTTATTGCTGTTGTTGTTGTAGTATCATTATGTTCATGATGTGAAAATAATAACCAATACAATTCTATACTAAAATATTCATGTGCCATTGTATCATATATTCTCATATATTTCTGAGTATGATTCATCAGTCATTTATCATTATATATTTAGATATGTATATGTATTTAAAGTTAATTTTATTATGATACCTTGAAATTAGAAAGGGTAGACACTAAACCCATTGAAATCCTGTGGACTCATTGGCCTGAATAGCTAATATCAGAAGTGTTTTAGCAACATGCACGCCATTGTAAATATGCATACATATTTTATACATCATAAATATGCATTTAATATTTATTTTATAATCAATAAGACCAGTGATATTTTCTTAATGAAACATGATTTGCAGGAATAAAATTTATAATATTCAATAGAGGCAATGTGTTTAAAAATGGACCTTATTACTACAAGAATCATTTCGATATTCAGAAATTTATGTAACAATAAATCAAGTTAAATCTATCCATGCTTAATATTTCTTTATGAACATTAAAAACGAGATCTATGAAAATAGCGTCAATAACTTAATATTAAATGCAGGACTAGTAGCCTTCAAAATATCTAAGACATAATGAAATCATCAAGGATAACGCCCCTAATAAACAATGATATGTTATTAACCTCAAATTGCAATACTTGAAAGTTGGAACTACGCTTACCTTGGATCTGAAGTGACAATATTAGGTGACTATCAACTTGAAAATCTTAGACAATATAAATCCTCACTCAATTACACATAAATGTTTAAAAACATTGAAAATCAATGATTGGTTTCTACAAGTTCAACCTACACTGATTGAGAACAGAGGGAGAAACACAATGGAAAAGGAGGGCTTATGGATGTGATGACTCTTGGTTGAAGTAAACTACGAGGATTAAATTTTGTGGGACTTGAATTCCTGACTCAAGAAGGATTCTTAGAGGAAATAAGGGGGAATAGTGGCTGAGGTTCTAGAGCTCTAGCTCAGATGGACAGTTTTGGCGGTTGGAGGTGTGACACGTATTTAATGCCCTAGCTTTTTCCTTATAATCCAACTTGAGGCGGGAAGGAGCATGAGATTTACTGCGGAGAAGCGAGGCTAAAGCGCACTTATTGTGCAAGGCTAGGACGGCGATTGGGGCGAGATATGTGGTTTGCATGAAGACGTGAAGCTGGTTTGGGGCCGGTTTGGCTCGACTAGGGTGCTGGGTTTGATTTGCTATAATGTAATTGTTCGAGTATCATGACTAAAGCATTTAAATGGCCTTTAATTGTTGTAACCATCCTATTTTGATGCAAGCATTAAAAAAGACTATGGTTATACGAACTGTGCTGCTGCTTTTTTTAACCACAAATTTCCTTGGTGGGTATTGATATATGAACTATGAATGCAACGGCAGATCTTCTTGATCGGGGTTGGAGGAGATCTGGCTGTTTTCTCTACAAACCTGAGATGGAAAGTACTTGCTGCCCTCCTTATACCATTCGTTTGAAAGCATGTGATTTTGTTCCTTCGAAAGAACAAGTTCGTGTGCAGAAGAAAATGCAAAGGTATATATCTTGTTAAGCCATTTTTCTGCTCAATCCCTTCTCACTACTATCATCCGGATCATTGGGTGTGCCTGGATTTATTTTGGTACCGTAGTAACTACCTGCTTTTGCATACTGGTGGATAGGCTTGTAGAAGGTACATTAAACCAGAGGAAACTGGACCAGTTTGAAGAGATGAACTCTACAGAGTGCTACATTAACTCATGTAATAATGAATCATTAGCGAGTAATAGCTCAGAAATGTTTTTAGGAAAACCTTCATCTGGTAAAAATGAATACAAGTTCAAGGAAGATGAGTTCTTGCAAGTTTTGTCAAATGAGATCAATAATGCCATAAGTGCTTGCATTGATAGAGGTGAATTTCCTTCTATTCAGTTTCCGAAAGCCATAGTAAAAAAGGTAAAACCTCAAGCTAAAAGAAAACTAACGGAAGACTTATTGTATACGAGCAACATCCCATTTCAGATTGCTGCATTACTAAAACGAGCGCAATCTGCACATGGAAACAATTCTCCTGCTGGTTTGAATAATCCATGTCAGAATGGAGGATCATTGGATATCCCACCCAACATCATTGCTGAAGCGCTATCATCTTCCATAAAATGGGATGATCAACCTTTTGGCCTATTAGTTAAAGCCTGCAATGGCCACCTTAATTTCTATTCTTCCGCCGATCAATCTAATTATTCAGATTTTGTTTCAAATATTGAGGCATGTACCCAAACTTTTGAAACGGCGAGAGGTCAGAATAAAGAAAGTTGCTCAACTGACAGCATTGCGAAGATTCCGTTTAAAAAACAGAAACTGGAGATTAGAATGAAAAGGTCAAGTTTTGATCCTGAAGAATTTGCCTTATACAAAAGGTATCAAATCAATATCCATGGAGATTTACCAGAGAAGGTAACAGAAAGTTCATACCGTAGATTTCTGGTGGACACTCCTATTATTTTTGTTCCGCCTGCTAGTGGTGCAAGGAGTGTACCACCTTGTGGTTTTGGTTCTTTCCATCAACAATATGTCATTGACGGGAAACTTGTTGCTGTTGGTGTGGTAGATATCCTTCCAAGATGTTTATCTAGCAAGTATTTATTCTGGGACCCTGATCTTGCCTTCCTGTCACTTGGAAAATACTCGGCTTTACAAGAAATAAGTTGGGTTAAGGATTCACGCGATCACTGCCCGAGCCTCCAGTACTATTATCTAGGCTATTATATCCATTCCTGCAACAAAATGAGATACAAAGCAGCATATCGCCCTTCTGAGCTTCTATGTCCCCTTCGTTATGAGTAAGTTCTTCCTTTCCAAGTCATCTGATAGTTTATATGACTTTTTTTAGCTTCTCTTCCTGCAACTTAGAAAGTCGAATGAAATTAAAGCTTTTGAAAAGCTGGGAAGATTGGCATTCATGAGTTAAATTGCTCAATTTAGAAGCTGAAATGCAGGAAAATGCCAATATGTGAGACCATTCGAGAACTTTTTGAAATGGCAACTACTAGAGTTCAAACTCATGATGTTATAGAACATAATATGTCACTTAGCTGTGAATGATTTAAGCAGAGATTTTAGCTTTCCTGAGTTATATTTTTTTTTTATCTTTCTTTGTTCAATGCAATGAAGTGGTCTAGCTTTTCAAGCACAAATGTTCATGAACTCCACGCTCCCATCTTTGTTACTTGCTATATGTTTGATTTTCAGGTGGGTACCATTTGATATTGCCAGACCCCTACTTGACAAAAAGTCATATGTTGTCCTATCAGATTTTGCAACCCGTCCGTACCAAGCATCTTCTACCGGTACATCTATTCGTGATTATAATGGTTCGAGCATGTCTTCTGGTAATGAAAGAGGTGAAGCAGGTGCTGATCATGAAGTTCTAGATGCAGATGAGTATAATAAATCTGATGTGGAAGTTAGTCGTGAACCTTTGCGGAACGAGTTAATGATGTTTAACGTTGGCAATATTCTAATTGACTTGCATGGTTCACGTCTTAGATTCAAGGTATGCACTTATTATCACCTCTGACTGTTTTTTTAGAAAATAATCATTATCTGTGTTATTAGGTTTCTCTTAACCTTAACCGCAATAAAACTTGCTTAGGTATCATAAACATGTCAAACACTTCCTGAAATGTCAATTTCTTTATGCAGCTTACATATTTTTATGTGTTTTGAAAATGTTTACTTTTCTCAAAATTCTTAAGCATTTCTTGAAAATTCATATAGGGCACCCCATATCCTCACCTTAGTCGTTGGTTAAATATTTCTTAAATGAAATAATAAATTACGTAAATTAGAAAACAATAGATTTTAAACTATGTGATCTAACAAAAGGAAGCTTTGAGAAATGAGGACTACAAGGGACTTATGTTAGGAAAGCTCGTCTCCTATGTCAACACCGTGCTGGTCACTAGCCCCTCCAATTGGACAAATTATATTGTGCGGAGTCCGGACGTCATCCAGAGGCCAATAAAAATACGCCACGTCACCCCAGAAGTGTACCGCGCTCAGTACCGAGCGCGGTACTGTGCTGTACCGAGTGTCGGTACCACTCGGTACCAAGCGGTACCGGACGGTAGAACCGTCCAGAGTCCGCACAGAATAATCTCTCCAATTGTTACTGATTTTCTCTTGAATGTCTCTAGCTTATGACTGTCATAACTGGCGCTCTAGTGCTCACTATTGACTTCTGAACAGAGAAATCCATTTGTATGAATCCGTTTTTGTACTAACTTTTGATTACTTCATGAGCTACTTCTCTTGCCTTTGTTTCTGCACTTGGTTGAATGGAGCGATGTCCTTCAATGACATGACAATCATCTCCTTTATAATTCTTTAAGGTTATATGTTGTTAACCACCCTTCAACACCATGCTCTTCATGGTTTGCTTGTGGCTATCTAACGGAGAAATTCCTCTATATGACATCGACAAAGATAATTACCAACCTTTGATCACTCTATCTACCACTTTTTTGAACTCTGCCTTGGCACCTAGTTATATGAAGGAGAAGAATGAGTGATGCCCTTCAAAGCCATGCAATCTTCTCCTCGTATGAAGCTTATAGGTGGTAAGTAGTAAACTTGTGGCTATTAGATAAATGGCATTAGGTTAATAAGTAACAAACTTATACTGGTTAGAAAGAATTTTTAGGAATGCATGAAAATAAATGAAAAGTTAGGTTTTGATTTTACGATCAAGATTGGTAAGATAATTATCTCCACATCTCAAAACCTAACACTATGGAAACAAATTAATAGAGAATATTTTCTGTTCTCATAAACATTCATCGTAAGCCTATTCCAAATAAACTATAATAACAAAACTACTAAATAATATAAGTAACCTTTAGCTCATTTACTTGCTCAATGTTTTCGACGAGTACAAACTTGTAGGTTTTATCAAATCAATCAAGTTTAAAAAATTCAGCTTAAAAAAATTAGTTTATGACATTTCACTGAGTAGATTAGGGCATAAATTATGTGCTTCCTACAAATTAATCAGTGACATATTAAAAATAGAATTATCACATCAGTGTTCAAAATATCTCTGGAACTAAGTGCAACGTCATCATCCAAAATAGCTTTAGGAATAAGTTGAGTAGATTTTTCTGGCAAATTTAATATGAATTTATGAGAGGGAAAGAGAGAAGAAACTAAGGAATTGATAATAGGTTAATGAAGCAAAATCAAATAAAACACATTAACATCAACATCAACATCAAGCCTTTATCCCACTATGTGGGGTTGACTACATGAATCCTTTTTTCTCCATTGTGTTCTATTAAGAGTCAAATTTCCATTTAAATTTAATAAAAGAGGGTCATTTCTAATATTTTTTAGCCAAGTCTTTCTAGGGCTTACTCTATGTCTCTTAACATAGGTCAAATCCAATGCATCTACTCTTCTAATCGGGTCATCGGAAGACTGACGTTTTATGTGTTAGTTCATATGTGCTACAATATTTTAAATGGTCATGCCTTTTTGGCATTTAATCTTTAAGGACTCCTGAAGGACTTTCTGAATTCAAATATACCATTGCTTTCTCCTTAGTATAAACTTCACATTTACATCAGTAAAACACTTAATAATTATCAATTAGTAGTATTATTTTTACGAATACTCTCAAACAAATCATGCATATGTTGTGTGAATGATTAAAAATATAATATGCCTAGACTTAAAATAGAAACCCAACAAGATAAGCCGTCTTTCTAGGTTAAAATGCCATAATTTTCTTGAATTTCTAATTTACAGTCATGAGTTCTAATGCGTGCAAAATTTTAGATGGTTATGCCTATTTTTGTACATGAGTAAAAACTTATAATTATCATTGTTAGTAGCTATTTTTTATGAATATTCTCATATAAATCATGCTTAAATTTTTAATACTTAATTGTTAGGGTAAAGTACAAACTCTTTTGGCAATAGATAATGATCAATAGACTTAGGTTTCGTTTGGGACGGTTTTCTTATTGCTTTTTAAAGAAGTTTTCTAATGGAAAAATTAGAAATTTTGTACTAGAAAGCTGTTTTAAAAAGCAATAAGAAAGCCGTCTGAAAGGAAGCCTTAGTCTATATAAACTCTCCTTACATTAGATAGTGTGCGATTGGAGTCACGACAATACTAAACCTTAATGAATCATTTATAAAAATAGTCAAATCTTTAAAACATTAAATATCATGAATATTAATAGGTGTTTTTCAATAATTATTTGCTTTAACCTTATCAAAATTAATAGCAATTCGTCACTAGACAATAGATCTTGAAAAGATGATTGTGGGTGTTAAGCTGCATTTTCTTTTTATATTATTATTTAGTGTTTTGGCAAAATCTTTATTGTTCACATAAATTGATGTCAGTGTTGTTACCTTGAACATAAGCTAATTTTTCAATTTTCACGCAAAGCCCATGCGAAATATGAGTGTCAATCTTAGTTATTTTTGTTGTCCTTGATGCGCCGATGCATTCTGTTTTGGCTGACATGTATCATACTACATGTGCACAAAGTCGCGTTTTTCTCTCATCCTTTTTTTGATATTTGATCTAGTTGACCTTGGTGCAATTATAGACCTTAACAATAGAGATCTTCGAACACATAGATTAAGAAATCTAATTGTTGGATCGATCCTCTAATAACTCCTAGATTACAATCCATATGCCTCTTCTTTCTTTTTAAGCCTAGGGCCTCTCTTAGGTACTTTTTTTTTTCTTTTTTTTAATGGATTTGAGTTATTTTCATTATAATATTTTTGGAGAAGCTTATATTCCCTTCCAAACTTTAATGAAATTTTATACACAATCAAGCAATAAAATTTAAATTAGTTTTTTTTTTCTATTTATATACTCTTCTACATAACCATATCTATATATTATATTATAACTAAAAATGAGGTGAAAGAAGCTTTCATTTAGAAAAAAATATTCACTTTCATTTTTTTTAAATTAAAAATTTAAGAAAAAAAGCAAAAAATCTCATACAAAAATTAAAATCGAGCTATTAATTGGTTAGCATTACAGTTTTGCAAAAGCTTCATTCTTCCCATGCATTCAATTTCTTATATGTTCTATTTGTTTTTTTGTAGAACCTTCGACAGCTTTTTGATCCCACAGAGAAGAGATTCATTCGGGAGTTGGAATTGCAATTGAAAAGATTTGTGACAGTAGTGGGCAATGAGCTATCTAGCCGTATAATTTACTCTCTTGGCTAAATCATTAAATCAGCATCTCTTAGGCTTCGTTTGGAACTTTCATGCTTCTTAAAACAGCTTTTCAATAAAAATATTTTGTATTAAAAAACTGTTTTAAAAAGCAATAAGAAAGGCATCTCAAATGAAACCTTAGGCTTTGTTTGGGACAGCTTCTTACTGCTTCTTAAAGCAATTTTTTAAAAATTTTATACTAGAAAGCCGCTTTAAAAAACAGTAAGAAAGCCGTCCCAAACAAAACCTTAGACTATTGTGATCAATCAGCTAAACGGTGCTGTATACAAATCCACCTGCATCTTCATATGCAAATTTTCGTTTAATATGAACTCTACTCTTCTGAATTTTATGTTGATTATTGTACATGATACCATTTATTTTGGAATGAACTGCTAATCACTTTTTGCAGAATAAATCTTAGGTTAGGACAGCTTATTTACTGTTTTTTAAAGTAGTTTTTTTAATATAAAAATTTTTAATTCAATAAATTTTTATATTATATAACTACTGATTGTGCAATAAAATAAAAATGGTATATTTATTAAACATTTATTTATTTATTTATTTTTATTTTATTTTTATTTATGTTTTTATTATATATATTTATCAAACATGAAGGCCCTCAAACTCTCAAATTATGAGAGTATTAGCTGTGAAGATATTAGAATAGGATTGGCTTTCAATCTGATTAGAAGGAAAACAAATTCATTAATTATTACAATATTTCAGTTTAAAAAGGTTTTTTTTTTTCTGGAAGGATTCACTTCTTTATATATTCATTAGAGATTAAAGATAGTATCAGTGTATCACTCAACCAAATAATTAATGATGAACCCTTCATATTAAATTAATATATGCTATATTTTATGATTCATATTACTGCCAAAGAAAATATCTTTTCTTTCAACTAATTTATTTATTCAATTCAAAATGTTTTGCTATTTTATGCAAATTATATTTACAATATTTTATCATAAAGATAAATTCATTTACTATTGCTATTTTCACAAACTCTTTAATTTTTCCAAAGTTAAAAAATAAATAAATTATTTTAACTAAAAGCTTTTTTATCAATAAAATAAGATCCACAATATATATATAATTAAGTAATTTAATTACCATTTAATGTTATGTTTTTGATAACTACATTTTAAATATGCTGAATACACTAAAACTTCAATGAAATTTATTTTTATTTAATTCATTAGAGAAATCTCTCGTCTCATAAAAATTAAGAAAAAATCTTAAGTAATACTACTTTCAATAATTTTATCTGTATTATAATTTATTAGTGAATGTTTTAACATGATATATGTTCCAATAAGCTTTCCAGTTGCTCTCAATAAGGCTACAAAAAATAAATACCAGCAAGTAGAAAGATGGAACAAACGATTCAGGCAGTGCAAGAAACCTTATAAACAGAAGGGAAAGAACAACTTGTTATAGAACACGTCAGTTTGGTAAGCTTGAGCTTCCAGCCATGGATAAGAAACAAGTCTCCAAATTCCAGAATTCACATTGAATTGTCACACAGAAAGTAAAGAATATACAATTGTATTCAATCGGGTTGCGCCGCCGCCGAAGAAATCATGCATCTTCTGCATCGCTTCCGCCGACGTGAGATTCATGGCTGGCCCAGTAATGGCTTCCATCAGGACCCGACACCTTAAACCTGTTCAGAAACCATGTAGAGTATCTTAGCAAGGTCACTCTTTTACAATCTGAGCAAGAGGAAAAATATTGAACATGAGACCTGAGAAATCTAATGACTATTTAGTAGAATAGCAAAAAGAATAAAATGAGTATCATCATCGTTGGACATACAATATTCAAATTGAATATTATTGAGCCTTGTTAAGGAGAAATTATTCTGTGTGGAGTCTGGACGGGAAGAACTGTTCGGACATGTGAGTGTGCATACTATGGGACGGTTATTCTTGTCCGGATTCCGAACAGAATAATTTCTCCTTGTTAAGACAGTAAGAATTCCTACCAAATTAAGAAATGAAGAAGTTTATGATTTGACTAGGGTTTAACTGAATAATGACCAAACAAGCTTAGAATGAAATGACTAAACTCTGGAGTTACTCAATGCCCGGACTCTACTGTAAAGTTGTCCCATCAATTTCAAAGAGAAATGATGGTTGGATGCAAAATTTCTGAAAAGCGGAAAAGAAAAACAAGAATGTGATCATACATCAAACTTCGCTATGAATGAGAGGGATTTTGACTGAATTGTTCTTATTTGAAGACCAGCCAAATACAAAATAAAATACCAAAATCACCAACCATTTGGTGGAGTGTTATTGCATTTGGCCTCAAAATTGAGGTTAGAGATTCGAATCCAGACAAAAAAAATTGTCATGCGAAGTTTATAATGAAAAATGCTTTATATTCATGGACATAAAATTCACAAGAGCAAATGTTGATGTGGATGCAGGTGATTGGCTGGCTTGAATTTCTTACTGATAAAAATTTTTGCTCAAGCAATCACTATACTTCCAGATCAAAATGATCGTTGTGGAGTTTTAAGATCCACAAGTTTAAGAAACAACTGGCTTCACAAATCCAAATGTAATGCTAATGTCGTGAATAGCAATGAATGGATGTTTAAAATTACTGTATAAAGCTCCACCTCCATCAAGCATATATTAGACTGGAAAAGTTCTGCAATTTAGGCATTTATTTGCACAAAACTACTCAACGTAACAACGGAAAAATAAATAAAACTGAAGACGACAACATTAAAACTAAAACTTATGAAAAGAAAAGAAATGCAAAACAAATCTGCCAAACTCTTTGGATCTCACAAGAAATCTATAGGGTTGTGAGCTCCGAAAATTCGTGCCCCAGCCTCCTCTCTTTCAGGAGAGTTTTAATAGATTAGATTCCGAGGCAAATTTTTAGAAGGCAATTTGGATTGTGAATAAGACACTCCCCAAATATTTCACCCTCATTTTGCGAGAACTTTAGACCCGAGTTCAGGTTTCCTATAGGCGCAAGCCCCTATAGTTAATTATTGCTCCCGATGACGAGAGAGAACTTTCGACTAAGGCAAGTCAAACAAATACGTAGATGTACGTGTTATATGGTGTATAGTAGCAGCATGAGTTTAGGTATTTGAAAATTTGATATTTAAAATCGAAGATTTGCCACCTTACAATTAAAGCGGATGGTGGGGGAATGGATGATTGGCCCGATCAAGATCCCATGGTTCTGTCATCTCGGGCCATTGTGGTCCCTGGTCTATGTAGTCAGAGGATGTAGTCGACTCAACCTGACAGAAGAATCATTGTCGAAAGCTATGGGTTTCTTCATCCAAGGATATCTTGTAGACCTGAGATGAATATTTGTCTAAGGGGACAAATCTAGATCCAGCTTAGCTAACAGAGGGCTTTGTGCTCTATCGATTATATCATATTGATTCCTATCTCAATGATTTGTAGCCATTGGAGAACATATGGGCTATGATTGTAATTGTAATACAATGGAGTCGTTAGAACAAGCCACTAGGTCAGAAGGTCGCAATCATAAGCGTTAACCACACAGAGCCATCTGGCCAAACCACGGGTTATTTATGGATACATTTGACCAAACAATGGATTAGAGGACCAATGTCACATCCTTACTGGCAATATACGGATTGAGAATGAGTCATAGTGATATTCTCGACCAGACATTGACTCCTTGTGAGCTTAAGTATTTTTTTAACTTGTCCACCTCGACAAAATTGTTGCGGAGGGTGGATGAATTTTGCTTCAAATATTTTGGTGATTTATTTCAATTTTAAATGATTTAAATTTTAAGTTTTTTGTAATTTTGAAGTTTTAAATTTTTATGGGATTTTGGGTGGCATTTGAAGGTGTAGAGTCCCCTCCGATTAATATAAACATTCAACACAACAATCATCGAGATATTTATAGGCAATTTTCATTTTGTTGATTGAACCTTATCGACTCTGTCAATTTGCTGACAGAGTATCGAGTTCTCCATAGGCTTTATGCCTTTATTGATGAATTTTCCTAGCTATAGGCCTTGAAGGCCTAATATGAACATATTAAAGCAAATATCTCAGTCGACGTCGTGACCGTAGATTTGTTTATATTCCGAGCCATGTTGACTCCTATCTATCCACATAGAAGATCGGGCTTAAACTTAAGTTCATTTCTTGACCAGTGCAGCATTCTCAGACATCACGTGTGCCTACAACACACTCGCCGGGGCCCATGCGGGTCATGATTTTGCATGCAATATGTATGATGCAGTTATACGACTGTCATATATATACAAAGGATATTTATATCGTATATGCATATGTGTATACGCATTTACACGAGTGCTTGCATGTTCACATAATATGCTCTACATGTTACATTACACACGGGAGGACATTTTAAAATATTTGACATCGATCAGCCATGCAAGTGATGTCATTTAAGTGTGTGCAACATTTTGTTTGAAAGCTTGTAGAAGCCTTCTGTCTGGTTATATGAGTGTTGCCGTCCCGGTGGCATGGAGTCATAGGTTGAGTTCTGTTTGTTAATTTAGGCAGGTAGGCTATCCTGCACTAATGAACCTCCTGTTATTTGTAGATGCTTGCATTCATCGCCAACTCCCATACTTGCTAGCGGATAGCCTAGTGTGTATGTGACGGCTCTCCTACAATAGCTTGTAGGTGCTTATATTTGTTGTGTATTATCCACCTTCGCTCGCAATGGATCAATGTATTTGCTTAACATTAAATGGTGATTGATCGTAAAGGTGTCGTAGCATTCATTTCCTTCTGCTACGACGACTTGTAGGTGTATAGGTGTCTTCTATGTATAGCAGACATACCATCTTTTACTTGCAAATGATATGTTGTAGGTATACCCATTGTTGGTTGTAGGAAGAATCCAACATCTACTGCACATTGCTCATCGTCATATGTAGGTGGAATACTGTATGCATAATGAACCCCATACAACCACTTGTGGACATCCTATGATGTCTGTTTGCACACGGATGTAGTTGGGATTACCATGTCTTCTTGCATGACTGACATGGAGAGTACTATCAACCCCAATTTCTTTGCTTGTGGGGTTGAATGTATATGTTTGTGCTTTAATGTTGACCACAAAATGTTGTTATATTCATTTCACGCTGGTCTTATGCTTGTGGGAGACTAGTATGCTCATTTGTATGCTAATCAGTATTGACTATAAAGGTGTCGCAACATTCACTACTTGTTTCTAATTATCACCCACAGGTATGTCATTGTGTGTACAACACATCTTCTATTGTTATCAATAGGTATTAGCACTCATCACATATTGCACTATGACTGCAAGAGGTTACATTGCATACAGGTGAATTGATGCATTCATTGCACATTGATCTTTAGCGTCCGTAGGAAACTATCACATGTGTTTTTTTAAGCTAGTTGACATAAACCATAGAGTGGCTTTCATATTCATAGCATGTCCACTGTCGTTGCTCACAAGCAGGTTAGTGCATTTGCTTATTAGCTGGTGACTGTTGATTGCAAATACATTGCATTCCTTGTATATGGCCATTTGTAAGCCATCAAGTTCATTGCATGTCTATTATTATCATTTATAAGTGATCTGTTATGTATACTGCAAGTCATTTGATGTCTCTAAATTGATTAATAGTATACATATTGCTCGTTGGTGTTTGCACTTCAACCGTCATAATGTCTCTTGATATTATTGTAAGCTCTGCATTATTACTTATAGGCAAGTCAACATAATTTTTTTATAAATTCAAATTCATGCTACAAGTAAAGCTATGTTTGGAGATTGGCCCACCATAACTTTCATGTTCATCTATTAGCGTTCGTTTGAACATTTTGAGCCATTAATTAGCATTTATATTTTTTTAATCTTATATGTATTTGTCAAATTAATGTCCAATTCATTGCTTTAAATTTTGTCCCCCATGGTTCATCTTGTTTGAGTCCCCTGTAATTGTTCAATTTTTATTCAAAATGTCTCTTGTTCCACTGGCAATTCTGGTAGCCTCCTAACGCCTCCCCTGTTTAGGGAAGATTCCAGGAGTCGGGTCTTCCCGCCATGTTAGAGAAAAGCGTGTACGGTAGGTGTCGGATGATACCGCAGTCTATAAACTTCAATCCTACCATGCTAGAGAAATGCGTGTATGAGTTTTCGGGGTACTTGTTTGAAATGTGCAGTTGTTTCCCTGTATGCACTGTGGCATTTAAAGGTACTTATATTCATCCTCGTAATGCTAGAGAAAAGTGTGTAAAAGGTCTTTCGCCTCTCTACAAGCTTCGCAGCGAATTCCCTCCCACCACGCTTGAGAAAAGCGTGTATATGTGATTTTTCGCTGCGTTGCGAGCGCCAAAAAATGAACTTTTGGAGTTTCTGGGTTTAAGACATTTATACCTCAATGAACAACGGCGACGATGTTGGGGTGGATGTCGATGGCACGAGGATCAACACGAATGCACAAAATTCTATATTTCTTTTTTGCGGATGAGGGGGGGGGGGGGTATGCACAAGTGAATGTTCTAGAGATCACAAGAGATGTGGATGATTGGGAACAGGCCAATGGAAAGTTCTTTCAACTAGCTCAATCACAACAAATAATAATAAAAAATTAGAAATAATAAAATCCATTTTTTAAAGCAAATTGAAACTTATCATCCTCATGAGAGGACCAACCTAGGCCCCCAACTTCACTTTTCTTCATTTGACTTCCTAAGAGGAAAGTTATATCAAAAATCCTTCCAACAACTTAGAGGTGGATCACTTTGCATAATTTTTACAAATAATGCATCTTTGTAACAATCATGTCCTCAGCCACGTGTTTGGATTTCCATGGCCATGATTGCCTAAAGTTCTTACATACTTACAAATGGTGAAAATCTATTTCCCACACGAACATAACCAATTATTGCTTATTCAATGAAAGAATAATTTTTGATAATACCTTTCAAGAATAAATTTTCCTTCCTTGTACTTCTGGCCCTTGTCATATGCAGCCACCTGAAGACGGTCAGCAGGTCAAGAAAAGCTGCAAATAGCAAGACGTGTGGAATTGCTAAAAACAGACAGATACAGTCCTTACATATTTCCACCCCACATTGGATCCACAACCAACACAAAAAATATCAGACACTGTGTGCATTCCTGTCATCATCATTCGATCCTCCTTTAGTCCAATCGTTACATTGACCCTGTCATTCATGATCAGACAAACGAAAAATTAAAAGCACAAAACAGTGAGAGTTATATTTCTTCCTTAAGGCATCCAAACATGAACTATAATAATCTCAAAAAGAAAAGTTCATACCTCGGACAATGAAAGTTGTCCATATGCCTCAGATAGAACTAGTAAAAATACCTAATATAAAAAATTTTCTACGGTGATGTGCAGAACTTCTTTAAGTCATTAATTCCTTCAAGGCGGCACTAAGTGAGACCTAATGTTAAGTATCTTAGGTTTACAAAAAAAATTGAGCTATTTCTAAATTAACAATTATGGTCATCAAAGAAGTGAGAATATGCAAATGAATAACGGCCAAACACTATGTTAAGTTGATGGAGACCGTCCAATCAAAATATATGTGCATTGTCAAAGGTGAGAGACCATCCGATTTGATGTGGCATTTAAGGAGAGATTGATGACTATTTGTTTTTGGGTTATTTCATGTATTTATGGGACATTTTGACAATGTTCTTCTAGTTATTTTTTAAATTACTTTGACCATAGGTTATGATGTGATATTAATGTTTTTAAAAATTATTTTGGATTCATGTCATGTAGGTCTACTATGTAAGTTATACATTTGTTGAGAGGTTTGATGGAGAAGAATAAAGCTATACATCTACTCTCCTAATAGGTTCATCGGAAGGCCGCCGTTTTACATGACCAAACTATCTACTCTCTAATATTATCTATCACTAGAGCTACTCCAACCTTTTCACGGATATGCACGTTTCGTATCCTATCTCTAAGAGTAAATCTACTCATCCACCTGAGCTTGTTCAGCTCAACAACACTTAACTTAATATTGTGCTTCTTTTTTAATGGCCAACATTCTGCGCCACAAAGCATTGCAGGTCTCACCATGTGTGAAAGAGAGGGAGAAAAATATAAATAGAAATAAAAGATAGAAAATAAGCGAATTAATGGAGAGATGGGGACCTAACATGTAAAATTTATATTATTATGTTTTATTATCTAAAAAGTATTTTTACTAATCCTATTAATGATAAAACCTAATATGTAAAATCTTTTCAAGCATGCTAAAGACCATACCTAATGTATTTTTTATAAGCTTCAATTTCCATGTTGAGACTTTTTTCCAAACAGTTTAACATATGTGCCCAACATCTTAATAGGAGATATGATCGTGCATGTATATGCATGTGTGTGTTTGTGTGTGTGGGACCGTGGATAAAAATTAGGGGCCGATGGGCCCAAGTTTTATATTATTTTTTATAACTTACAACTTTGGATCCCAAAAATATTCTTCTCCTAACATTAAGGCACACTGTACAATTCAAATCAAACAACAAAAAAACCTGAATTGCTAATTTTTTCTTTGGTAATATGCCTTTGAGCCAAGGTTTTAAAACCCATTTTGATTTAATCTTGAAATTTTGTTTTTGGTTCAATTTCAGTGGTACTTTTGGTTACTTTCAATCATAGAATATTACAAATTATTTATTTAAAGTATGAAACAAAGAAGATTTTATAATTGGACTTCAGATTAAAATACACATGAAATTTAACGGGACCTTAATGATAGACTTCTTGTCAAACTTTGGCGACTACTAAAAAATTGTTAGCAATTTTTTGTTAAATAATATTAGTTTATGGGCGAAATACTCAAGTTTCACTGAAAACTATTCAATTTCAGCCAAAACCCCCAAAACCAAGAGAAAGCAAAAATATTAATGACTTTCAGATCAGTTTCAATTGGAATCACCAAAATTTAAAATCATGCTCTGAACCTTAGCACTAGCAAGCACAAGAGCAATTATATTCTAGGTGCCCCAGAAGGAATATTTAATAATTTAATGATTCACATAACACCACAGCTAGCTTATTAAAAATAGAGGGACAACATTACAATTTACTACCTCATAACATTATACTTAGCATGTCGCTGCATTCTCTCAAGTTTTTAAGATCTAACAGTTACTACTACTTATTTAAAAAAGAAAAAAGACAGTTGCGGCTTGTTCCACTCATACAAAACAAAGGTAGTGCAAAACAATACTTGAAACTTGAACTATGGGTGAGTTAAGGAAACATAAATCAGGTCCTCAGGAAACTCCAATAGTACACCAATTTCACACTTATCTTTCTTGAAATAAATGATTCATGCAAATGCATACAAACAAAATGCATAAAAGTGAGCTGCGATAAATTAGAAACATGTACATTTCTTGTGAAAGAAAAATATATATATATATACTAAGAGAAACTATTCCAGTAGGCTGCCGTCATTAAAATTAAAAGCAAAAAAGGGAAAAATGATACTTACACCTTGCTGAATAGATAAGCCTTCCCATGCCTGCAATGAAAAGACTGCACAAAATACAAAATAAGTTTATCAATAAATTTACGCTTTGCAACCTCAATATCTGAATTATCAAAGCTGATACTTCTCAAATTTATCAGCATCAGCACCTTTGGCAAAAGGAATGAAATGATTACGGAGTCCGGTTTGAGATTTGATGTTGTTCTAATCATCGATCACATGATATAATACAATGCTTCTACTTCATAGAACTAAAGCCTTTATATTAATGCAGTTAAAAAGCAAATATAGCGTGCAATACCTTTGTTGATTTGGTTGTTCAATCTTCAGAAGGCTTCGGATTTAAGTGCCACATATTGTTTTATTGTTTCAAATGACAATTTCACAAGGCAGAAAATTAAAAAACGAAAAGGCCTAAAATTAGAGTAAGAGTCTTAGGCTTCTATTACAAGATATATTAGATTTTAAAAAAAAAAGTCGATTAAACATCTTTAGTCAAGTGAGAAAGAAATCATACCTTTTTGAAACCAACACTCTTATATGAAGTCAGTACTTCAAGTAAACAAATTAGAGTTATTGTATTCAAAGTAAAACAAAAGAAAGCATTTCATGCTAAAAAATCCGAATATTAGTTGTAGCGTATTCAATTGTGTTGACTTTTGCATACATGTCAAATCCAATGCAAGTGGCTTCCATGTCACCTAAATCTTTATTAAATCCCTCAAAAGGTAGCAGCGGCAACATCACCCAAAACCTGCTAGTATTCTGCTCAAATCCTGCTGTAACAGCCCCCAAAATCTGCTCAAATCCTGCTGTAACAGCCCCCAAAATCTGCCCTTATCCTGCTGTAACAGCCCCCAAAATCTGCCCTTATCCTGCTCAAATCCTGCTGTACCAGCAACCCATATCCTGCAGCAAAATCCTGCCAAATCTCAACTGCAGCTGCCTGTTTGGTCAGGCCAGTGGGAATAAAAAAAGAACTAGCTTATCTAATCTAAAAAAATACCTTCTTATTCCTTATGACCTCTCCATTCTCTGACATAACCCACGGCAACCCTCTCCTCTCCACTACAACAGCTCTCACGTACAGAGGTCATTCTCTCATCCTCACTCTCCAACCTTCAGCCGACCTCCTGTATGCAAGAGCTCTGGCAAAAGCTCCTCTTCTCCACTTATTCTCCCCGTAACAACAGCTCCTCCTCTCTTCCATAGTTCTGACGTCAACCCCAACCTCCAACCTTGCCATCTAACCCCTCTACTCCCTTCAGCTTGCTTCAGGCCGAGTTCTTCCAGCCAAAACGCCTACGGTCAGGAGTCTCCACGCCACTGCTCTCCTGCTCACATTCATGTGAGCAACAGCCTCATTTGTCTCCTTCACACCAAAAAAAAAAATCCACTGATTAGCTTTCTGTTTCACATTAAAGCTATTCGCTGAAATTCCTCTCTTAGTGTCTTTTATAGCCCGTTACATCCTCAAAATTCAGCCCAACTCCCACACTATTCTCCTCTCACTTGCAGTTGAAATCAGCCCAAAGTTTACTCCACTACATCACTAACTAAAACCCATATATTGCCATATTCAGCCTCTGCTTCTAGCTCTGGTTTAAAGCATAACAAATTAGGTTTCGCTTTTATCTCATAGGCCGCACCTCCCTCTCTACTATATATTCCTTCAGCAAACCTGCAAGCATGTGTAAGGGAGTTAAAATCTGAGTTAAAACTTATAGTGTGCACGTGAAAGCTATCCCTTTTCTACACAGGAAGCTAGTCCATTTTCTGTCCTTACAGCAGCCTTTTTCCTTTACAAAGCCCAAATAGTCAACTCACTCAATCGTTAAAGGCCCATTTTTACACTATCATTTCCCTTCTCTGATTTGCACTTCAGCAACCCAAACCTAAAAGCCCATCTCCAAAAAAAAAAAAAGGGAAATGACACAAAACAATGAACTTTTCCTTTTCTTTTAATCTTGTTTTGGCATTTACTGTTATTCACTATTTGCCTTAATATTGATATTAGCATTAATGTCACCATTATAAGATTATTATTTGTGTAGATATCAGTGCCAATACAGATGTCATTTTCTTTGAGTATTAGTACTAACACCACTATGTGTTAATACTAACACTAAGGCAAATATTAATACCAGTGTTCATGCTGACATTGATATTAAAATTTGTCTCAAGGTTATATTGACATTTTTATTAATGTTGATATCAGTATTATTAATATTCTAGGGCACAAAGCTCTCTGTTAGCTAAGGTGGATTCAAATTTGTCCCCTTAGACAAACATCAACCCCGGTCTACAAGGTTCCCTTGGACGAAGCAACCCATGGCTGCTGACAAGGATCCTTCTGTCAGGTTGGGTCGACTACCTCCTCTGACTAAGTAGACCAGGGACCACGATGGCCCGGGATGACGGAACCATGGGATCTTGATCGGGTCCATCATCCATTCCCCCACCATCAGCTTTAAGTGCAGGATGGTGAAATTTCTACTTTAAATATAAAATCTTCAAATTCCCAACTAGTTTCTAAAATTCCCAAATTCTTAATCATTTTTAAATTTCCAAACCTCAAACCTATGCTGCTACTATATGCCAGATACACATATTGTACGTATCTGATCGACGACTAGCCTTAATCGAAAGTTCTCTCTCGTGATCGGGAGGGGTAATTAACTATAGGGGCTTGCGCCTATAGGAAACCAGAACTCAGATCATAAAGTCCTCGCAAAATGAGGGCGAAATCTCTGGGGAGTGTCTTATCTACAAACCCATCTGCCTTCCAAAATTTACCTCGGAACTTAGTCCGTTAAAACTCCCTCGCCGAATAAGAAGAGCGAGTGGAGGCCGGGGCCGAATTTTCGGAGCCCACAAATTGTCTTGAATAAGATTAGACATCCATATCCTATGGATTCTCATTATCATAAAAAGCACAACCAAATTTTCAGGCTTATTAATTATAATTATTACAGGCCAATTAACCGTTCAAATAAACAGAAGGGAAATATTAGTCTCCCCAACCATATTTCATAACCTGCATAACTTTTAGAACGGCCAAATATAAATATTCATTCCTTCTCAATCTAAGTAAGGCCAGTTAGGGTTTTCAATTGGAATTCGATCCAATAGTAGACATCAGCACAAATCAACCACAAGTTCTCAGTCACAAGATTAAAAATAATAATAATAATTTCCCTATTCAACCAACCCTTGCCAAAAATATCTCAGCCCCTCATTTCATATGTATGTCACTCACAAATCGGGAAGCTTCCAAATATTTAAGCAGAAAGATCCTGAAGAATGGTACAGCGAAGTTATTTTTTTGTCGTTTCAAAGAGCAATCACACACCCAAATGAAAGTTCAGCTCAAATCCTCCAAACAGTTAGCAAAATAGGACCATCTCAACATACACAAAGTTTCTAAAATTGGGAAGAAATAGTTGCAGCGCATCCAGGCGCCGTTGAATTGGGCAAAAATAATCACAAAAGGCCATCATAATTGATCAGCCCTATCACTAGTCAACAACACTCCACCCGCAAAACTGGACAAATTAAAGGGAATTGCGTAGACCGGTTCGATTTAGAAGATGGAGGCAGGAAATTTACCTTGGAAACGATATCTTCGCTGAGGGCCAGATGGGCCTGGCAGTGCTTGCAGCTATAACCCTTGCCATCTAGATTCACCAGAAAAAGCCGACCCATCTCCGTTAAAAAGTCCGTAAATTTCTCCTGCCCCCTTCGCAGCTCTACTCTAGTTTCAGCTTCTTCTGTCGACGATCCTATGAGAAATAAAAATCAAATTTTTAGAATGAAATCGTAATTAAAAGAGGCAATAGGATGAGTAATTCATCGCTAATCGTTACAGAAACGTCGCCGAAATTTCTGAGGATCAACACGCAATGCAAACTAAAAAAAAAAACAAAGGAAGAGAGGCTTTGGGGGTCGGCGACCTGATAGTCGTCGGAATTGCTGCCAGTGCGTGCAATAGAATTCATTAGTTTCTATGGATAGATTCTTGCCGTAATTACCAATTTGTTGCTTGAAGAGTTGGAGTCATGAATTATCTTTGAAAAAATAATTACTTTAGATTTATTATTTACTTAATAAAATATTTTTTTTTTATTTTTTGCATTAAATTAATTATCACCAGTTCTTTAAGCGTGTTTAAAATCTCCAAGCAAATAAACCAGCCTTTATATTACAAAGTTTTAATTAATATTTTTAATAATAAATATTCACTTAATATTAACATGTTGATTAATTAAGCTATGTTATTATTATAAATTATTTTTAGCAAGTCATCATCAATTAGACTAAGGCTTCATTTTGTTATCCAGTACTAAAGGTAGTTTTAAAAATATTGGTTAAGATAATAATAATTTTTTAATGGAGAAGCAAATATCAAAAAGCTTATCAAAATACCAAAAAAATGAAGTTCTTTAAAATGCTTTTCTATATAAGCGTCACATACAAATAGTGAACAAAAAATAATTTCATCGTTTCTAAATGAAAATTTCACCATTTCTAAACGGAAAAGGCAGAAAAATGCCCTCTCAAACAAGGCCTAAGGCTTTATTTGAGACAGCTTTTTTTTACTGTTTTGCTTTTTATATATTGCAATGGAAGAGCCTTTATTTGAGACTGCACATATATATATGTATATATATACACACACATATACATATACATATATTGCTAGAAAGATGTTTTCTATGTCAGCTTTCAAAAAAGTTCTTTTTCCACAGCAGTTTTACAACCACCTTTATAAAAAATTGTAATAATCCCAATTATAAACCCCCCTAAGGCTTCGTTTGGGACAGCTTTCTAACTACTTTCTAAAGAAATTTTTTAGTATAAAAATTTCTTAATCAACAAATTTTATATGCTAAAAAGCTGCTTTAGATAAAGCAAAAGAAAATATGTCCCAGATAAAGCCTAAAACAAGTCTCCTTTGAACTCGACATTGTATTCCAAAATTTGTTATAAATTGAAGTTAAAATAAAGTTCTATTTGCCAATGAACTCTTCAATTAAAACGGTCAAAGAAAAATTTTATTTGTAGATGAATTTTTCAATGGCGAAATTTTGAGGAGCATAGTTTAAACAGAGGAGCATAGTTTAAAATCATGATGCTGAGGTTAATATATCCTTAATTTATGTTTTGTACTCCAAGATTCATGTGATTTTGAAACCGTGTGAGCTTCGTTTATGACGTCTTCTTCTCCTTCACATGAACTCTTATCTAAGGCTTCGTCTGGAACGGCTTTCTTACTGCTTCTTAAAATAACTTTTTAGTACAAAATTTTTAATTTTTGTACTATAAATCTGATTTAAGAAGCAGAAAAAAACCATCTCAAATGAATCCTGAATCTCCTCTTCCCCCAGAGAGCTTCTATCGATGCTTTCTCTTATTAGTAAGCGATAAACGTATCATTCTTTGTTAGAAATGCATTCCTTGCTACATATTAGTATGATTTAATTATTGATAATAAATTATAAAATAGTCATTTTGGCATGTTGTGAGAGTTAGCTTTGCTATATTATTCATTGTACGATTTTTGAAAAAATATATATGCATTATTATGATTGTTGAGAAATAAATATTGCTCATATAAATTATGATTTGTAATAAATATTGCTCATATAAAATCTATGTTCGCATCGCCATTGATCCCTTACAGGCTGCTGATCCTCTCGAATCCTCACAATGGGAGATTATTATGTGTGGAGTGCGGATGAGGAGAACCATCCGCACAAGTCTTATTCCGCGCTAGGTACCGACACTCGATACCGCTGGATACCGCTAGGTATCCATATTTATGCGGACGGTGCACATTCCGCACCTAATAATTTTTCCACACAATGCCACGAGCTCCCATCATAATTACTTCGTACAAACTTTTACAAGCTATCGGGAGACCATCTCTATGTATATTACTAGTAAATGTGAAAGCAATGAAAACAATGATCTTATCAGCGTAACTAATTTGAATTTAATAATATTATATAACTATACAATGCATTATATAAATTTAATTTATAAATTCTTAATCCACATTGAAAATATGCTATTTGAAGGTTGCAAATTAAGAATTATATATAGAAAAGATTGGATATATTCAACAATAGTTCGATTATATTGTATCAATATTTGAACTTGTTCAAACATGATTTGATCATATTTGCTCTACGTTTGAAGAACAATGCATGCACATTTTCGGTTTTGAATTGTCCCCTTCCAGCTAGGAAAAGTTATTCTGTGCAGAAGCCGAATCCCATCTGGATAATTAAGCCCGCGGCTCAGTACCGTTCGATACAACGGTACCAGGGCTAGGTATTGCTGACGTGACTCATTTTGATTGGTATCTGAATATAGAGCTACGTTCAACATCCGCACAAAATAATATCTCACCTCCCACGTCCAAACCAAATGCCAATCAGTCCATTAAATATTTATCAATAATATAATTCAACATAAAATCTAGTATTATACTGTCATATGTTAATAATGCTGGGCATGCCACAGGAAAAACGCCGGAAATAACAAATAAGCATCATTGGTGCCCAGTTTTACTGGCGAATTATAACGTCCGATCACCGGACGTCCAGACGCGCTACGTCACCCGAATACACTGGATCCCAATGTATTTTAGTGACGTGGCGCATCTGGATTGATTTCCGGACAAATCTGAACACTGGACGTAATAATTTGCCCAGTTTTACATATCAACCATCTCATCTCTCAGAGAGAATGATGGCGCCGCACATGAATGGGGTAACCCTTGAGCATCCTAGTGGTGGGGAAGAAGACCAGCTTGTCCTTCTCTGCAACTTCCCAGCTGTTCGAAGTTCAAGCAAAAACATGATCACCGTTCACATCTAATGGAACAGTAGTGTAACGGGAGTAGGAAATATTACCTGAAGCAGGTTACAAGGTAGTGGAGGAAGACTGAGATCTCGACACGGCCGAGTTCGTAGCCGGGGCAGAGGCGCTGGCCGCCGCCGAAAGGAGTGAAGATGGGAGCTCCACCGGCTTCTTGGCCTCCATCTTTGCTGAAGTTGTTGTTATGGTTCTAAACAAAATTCATAGCGACATTTTAGATAAATTGTTCTCCTTCTCAACCATTACTTGTTCATTAAGCTCACCAGCCATCTCCATGGGTTGAAGGTGCGGGCTTCTTCATAGTAATCGCTGTCCAGGTGCACTGCTCGGAATGAGGCAAACACCTTGCATCCCTTTGGTATCGTGTATCCTGCCATCCCATTAGCGACAACATTAGCAACAGATTTACTAAAAAAAAAGCTCCCGATCGAAACGTAGCGGAAAAGTAGACCTTTGAAATGGACGTCGGCGATGGCTCGTCGGAAGACGCCGCCAATTATGTTGGCGAAACGGAGAGTCTCGTTGATGACGCATTGGGTGAAAGGCATGGACTTGTAATCGTTCCAATCCAAGGCTTCGAACTCGTCCGTCTTCTTCCTCCGTATCTCATTCTGCTCTTCCTGCAAATCACGTCCACCTTTCAATTATTAACTATGGAGAATAAGCAGCATTAACAAGCGCCGAAATAATTATTAGGTGCCGGAAAGAGGGGGCAGGGGAAAAGGCGTCTCCTTTTTCATCCTTTTATACTACTAAACAAAAGAAAAGCGAAATAGCGGGGGACCTTGAGGAGGACGAGGGCGGAGGGATTGTCGGCGAGAAATTTGGCGGCGAGAGTCATAATCGTCGGTGTGGTCTCATGGCCGGCGACAAATAGAGCTAGAAGGAAATCAACCATTTCCTCTTCCGTGAATCCCTCCTCCGCCACGAGCAGCTCATCCACCATGTCTTTCTTTTTACTCCTCTCTGCTTCGGCTGCGGACTCTACGACAGACTCTCCCATCTTCTCCTCCTTCCTTCTCCTCACTAGCTCCATCAATGCCTCTGCCACTTTCTTCCTCGCCTAATCAATAAAACCCAAAATCCCAATCTATCAAGACAACACCGAAAATGTTGAAATTTTGTCACATAAATGGCTAAAAAATATGCGAACGACCTTGATTGCCCTGCCGTAGGTAGTAAAGGAGAGAAAAGAGGGAAGGGGAACAGAGAAGAAGCCATCGATGAGGAAATTATAATAGTGGCGAAGGTTCTCTGTCCACTCCCCTGGCCCCTGACTAATAAGTTGCTCCACTGTCAGCTCAAAAGTGATCTTTTTAGCCTGGTCGAGCAGCCGCAAAGAAGCAGGCCAAGACCGAAGATTGCGGCGGACAACGCGGTCGATGTCAGGGAGAAGGTGAGACCTGATGACCGCCGGCGAAGCGAAGCGGGTGAGCGTAAGAGAGTGCATACGCTTGTGAAGCGCACCCTTCATGAGAACAAGAGAGTGGCGGCCGAGGAGAGTGGACATAGAAGAAGGGTAACTTCCCTCAAATATGCGGCCTTCGCCGCCGAGGACGACGCGGTTGAACTCCGGGTCGGCGGAGAACACTGTGCGCTCGCCGAAGAGGTGCGTGGTGAAGAGACGCCCGCCGTGACGACGAATGCGCTCATCGGCGAAGGGTTCGGGATCCTCCGTTCGGTACGCTTTTATGAGACGCAGGGTCTCACCGACGAAGGGAAGGCCTAAAGTTCCTGGCGGCATTGCGGCCGTGACTCTTTTACGATTCAGTCGCCGGAGTGCGGCCAAAGCGATGATGCTGATGATAAGGAGAAGGGATGGGTAGGAGAGCTGATGTATAACAGATGATGCAAAGGTTGCCATGGAGAAGCCGGAATGTGAAAATAGAGCCGAAAAGCTTTATGATAGTGACCAATCCGAGGAACTCGGGTTTGCCAACCGGGGAGAGAGGAGAGAGAGAGAGAGAGAGAGCAAACACCAAAAATGAAAGATAGCCGGCCTTATCTTTATTTATAGACTTGATTAGCTTACAATATTCTTCATTACAAACCATATAAGCTAAAACCAGAGTGCCAAGTTAACCATCCCAACAAACTAATTCCAGATCTAACTAGTCATTCACTATCTAGCCACATTTAATAAAAGATTTTGTCAACCTCAATCTATCTTCCATGACTCAATTCGGATGAACATGGCAAAATCAATGACCAAAGAATAAGACAAAACACAAGAATAGTTCAAAATACTCTGCCACATTTGATTAAATTTTAATGATACCTGTTTTGCAAAATGAATCATGTCAATGAAAAAGTATATAATGAATGTGAAGTTCAATTCAAAACGCATTACACAAATAAAAATCACTCAAATGTTGCTTGTTTCACAAAATGGACTTGATATATCACCAATAACCACTTTGATGGAACACAAATCTTGAGGCATTTTCAAGTTGGCAAATTCCAAATTAAATTCGAGACCATCTGGGTTCCAATTTCAGCGAACTTATAATAAAATTGAAAAACTCGATGAGATGAACCCAACGACATCAAAATTGGTTCAATCTAAGTCCGAATGGGCCCAAATCAAGGGACCAAAGTACATTTGGAAGCTTAAAATCATTAATTAGATGACTAAATGATATCCAAATAAAGCAAACTTATAGTCAAATCAAGCGGCTCAATAAGACAAAACCAACAATCCTAAGATCTCTCAATTTTGACAGCATTAAGACACTTAAATGTTGAACAAAAGATTTATGATCAGAGAATCAATACGGGCTATCTGATGGAATGCTCCGAATTTGTCCTGGATCTTCTTTATAATTACGGGGTATGCTACTCCAAAAAATCTATTAATACACCCCAATGACCCTTCATGAGACGGGACATTTTACTTGAGATTTGAGAGAGCTCTAATGCTTCAATGATTTAGAGCTCCATCCAAGCACCATCGAGGCAAACTTCAGTAGGACTCCTATATTGGCGAATTTGCTGCACAAATAAAGACATATTTCACACTAAATGATTATGAAAATGAAATTGATGAGTACCAAAAATAAGATAAAAATTTACCTATGCATAATACAATAACATAAAATCAATTTGATCGAACATAAGCAACAAGATTCATAGAATTATGCCAAATTGCTACTTAGCCCTTAGTAGGGTTTTGAGTTATAAGTTCTTTACATTCATATGACTTAGGTTTGAGTTACTCTTCATGTGATATCACGCCCCAGAATCTATACTAGAAAAATTAACTATATCTTTTTTTCTCTTTAATCCAGAGATTTCACATTTCATATACACAACAGAAAGAAACATTATTGCATTTATATTCACAAATATGTACAATTATTACAAATCCAAAAATATCATATATACGATAGACATGATATAAAAGACTAGTTACATCACTATAAATATATCATGACTACAAAATAAACTACAGGTACCGAAAAGAAAACCAAACATGTTGTCTGGAGTCTTCCATTGCAGGGTCCTTACCTTTTCTTGAAAATAGGTAAAGCCACATAATGAGTATAAAAGTACAGCATATCAATGCAATGAAAAGAGAACAATATAATAAAAAATTATATAAAGAAATCTATGCATCAACATGCCAATTATCTATACAACCTTAGTTTATAACATATCACATCTCAATTTATTATATCGTTAATGATAGTTTTGGTAACAGACAATACTATTAATGCTATATAACGATATCAATGTCAATCACAATATCATTAATAGTGATATGTATCAGCAATAGTAATAATAATAAATCAGTAATTTGTATTATGTATATCAGATATTCAGATGAGGTTATCTTGAGGGTATCTTGCTACTACACTTATAAACAATAATCAATCATTATCAAACAATTATAATTACTAATCGTATAAGTTTTCATATATTTATAATATATTAATATTGATAATACTATCTATAATATATCAATGCTAGCAATACTATTTATAATATATTAATACATGTAGTAGTATCTGTAATATATCAATATTGACACTCTCACAATATTATATGTAGTATATCAATAATGACAGTACTCTTATTATGTATCAGATATCATCAATACTATATATTCTCTTATCATTGAGGTATCAGTACAATCATTTGTAGTCTTATCATTTATCAAATATTAGTTAGTACCTTAATATCATTTCAGTAAATCATTTCCATACATATTAATCGCTTAAGTTATTTCATCATATATCACATTTTAGTATTAACATGTCAATCACAATATATCATTTCAACCCATTTTTAATATGCCTTTTTCCTAGTCATTTTATCCATAAATTCTCATACACATATTTAATCAGTAAAAATACAATAAAACAATATCAAATTATTCAGAATGATCAAATCTATAACATATCAAAAGTTACAATGTAAAAGCTTACAAAATTATGAGATAATGTTATTTTAGCATATTTATGAGAGATAAATTTATAGAAACCAAGATAATAAAAAATGGAAATAAGAGAATAGCTACTTATAACGCTTAGAATAATTTAATAATAGGAAAGATGGATAAAAAATCCCCGACGACCCCCATCTTTCCTCTCTCTCTTCCTCTCCTCTTTCTCTTCCCCTTTCTTCTCCTTTAGTTACTGCCCGGCCAAGACACGAGTGAGGGGAGGCGATGGGACAAGAATGGTAGGGATATATAGAATAAAAAATATCTAAAAATGTTGTTAGTGGCCTAGTATTGTATCACACCTACTCAACGCCGCAGAGCTACATGTCAATTTTCGAGTTACTATAGAATAGAGACACAAGCGTTGTAGCGACATTTTCTAGCGGCATTGTACTCTCATCCCTTGCACTGCAGTACTCACAAGCACAACACTGAAGCACTCTAGTTCAAATAGAAATTCAAACTTCATATTTAAAATAATTTTTATTTTTTTGTTGCTACAAATCTTTCCACCTTTAAAAAATATTGTCCTCAATATTTTTATCAATCTAAGAGAGGGAACATGATTAAAATAAAATTTCAAAATCAAATTGACTAATCGTTATTTAAATAAACTATAAATTAAAAATCACATCAAAATTGATTCTAAATTACACTAGAAACTTATAAATTATCGAATAATTCAAATTATAACAGTGAAATGCTCGTGCACACTGGCAGAATTATTAGGCATCTCCTGTTGAGATGGAGCAACATTACTCACAGTATTTTCACCAGTTTAAACAACTCTTTGCTCAGGTCCAGGTATCAGACAATCCATCATTTTATGCCTAAGGGCACCACTCTTAAAATACTACCCTATCACTCAATGACATTGGTCTGCATGCCTTCTTCTACACCAAACACACTGCAGAGCAAAGACTTTCATAATCTTTATCTTGCTCTCTTCATCCATTCTCCTAATTGGAGTAGATGTTTGTTTAGACTGTTTGACCAAGTTTCCACTAACTAATTGAGCAATTATACCATTCAATTTCAATACACCCTAAGGTGCAATAGAAGGTGCCCAAGTATCCTAATCAATCATAAGCTTTTTCTCACTAGGATTCATTTTATTGTGCATGAATAGTTAAACAAATACTTAAGATGCAACAAATATTCATGAATGCAAAACACAATTTCATTTTTATTTTACTTATAAGCTCTTGTTCCGTCTCAATTCTTGCAATAACTGCTGCTCTAATAGCACTTTGTCACGACCCAGAACCTATACTAGAAGAATTTGATATATGTTATTTTCTTTTATTTAATCCAGAGATTTTGCAATTCATATACACAGCGGAAAGAAACATGATTATATTTAGATTTATCAATATGTACAATTATTACAACCCAAAAATATTATATATATAATAGCCATGCATGATTCAAAATACTAGCTACAACACTATAAATACACAATGATTACGAAACGAACTATAGGTGTCGAAAATAAAATTGAATATGTTGTCGAGAGTCTTATATCGCAGGGTCCTTATCCTTTTCTTAAAACTTGTAAATCGACATAGCGATCATATAAGCCCAGCAGTAACAAAAATCCTACAATTGAAATTATTGCAATAAAAAGAAAAAATATGTTGTAAATTATATAAAGAAATCTATGTATCAATATTTATGCCGATTATTTATACCAACTCAATTTATGACAAATCACATCTTAGTCTATCATTTTATCAGTGTCGGTATTAGTACCGGTTAATAATATTAATGATAGGTAATAGTATCAGTGTTAGTCCCAATATTAATAACAATTATCTGTATCAACAACAGTAACACTAATCAATAATTAGTGAATTGGTAATTCTTATTCAATATATCAAATATTTAGATGAGGGCATTTTGAGGGTATCTTGTTCCTACACTTATAACTCTTAATCAATCATTGTCAATCGTTAATCGTATCAATGTTCAGATATTTGTAATATATCAATAACAATAGTACTATCTGTAATATATTAATACTGATAGTACTATCTATAACATATCAATATTGACAATACTATCGGTAATATATCAATACTAGCAATACTACCTGTAATATATAAATATTGGAAGTACTTTTATCATGTATCATATATCATTAGTACCATTTATACTCTTATCATTGAGGTATTAGTATGATCATCTATACTCATATCGTTGATCAAATACCAATCAGTACATCTATATCATTTCACTACATTATTTTATATATATTAATCACTTCAGTTATTTAATCTCATATCATATTTCAGTATTATCATGTCAATCGTAGTATATCATTTCAGTCTACGCATTTTCCTGATCATTTTACCCAAAAAATTTTATACACATATTTAATCCGTAAAAATGTAATAAAATAATATCAAATTATTCAGAATGATCAAATCTATAATATAATTAAAGTTACATGGTGAAAGCTTACATAATCAATAGATAAGGTTGTTTTAGTATATTTAGGAAAAATAAATCCATAGAAATCAAAATCATTGAAAACATAAGTAAGTTAATAGTTACTTAGAATAATTTTTGTAATAGGAAGGATGGATGAAAAAGCCTCAACGACCCTCCTCATTCCTCTCTCTCTCTCTCTCTCTCTCTCTCAAATCTATAATATAATTATGGATGGTTTGCTTAGTCATTCTCTTGATAAAAGATGAGACATAGGGAGTGGGAATATGAACATCAAATGTTGGTGGCTATCATGCATTAAATATTGCTCATTTGTAGGCATTGAATGATGGTCAATATGGAATAATATAAATCGATCGAACAATAATGAGAATTTTGCTTGTTGCTCTCCTCATTAGAGGGAGGATTAGACGACTAGAAAGACTAGCATTGAGTGTTGGTGAGTGATGAATGTTGAATATCAGTCGATGACCAATATTCAATGATGGAGACGGAGGACTTTAATGTTAGTCGGTGGCTAACGATAAATGGTGGTGAAGGAGTGCATTAATGACTGGTGTCAAGTAGCAGTAATGACAAATCTCAATGTAAATCGATGACCAACTTTAAGCGAAAGCAATGACGATGATCATCATCGTTCTATGACCAACATCAATGTCAATCAAGTACTTACATTAATGTCATTCATTAGTTAAAACCTAAGCGATGATGGATAGAGCTCTAGAACTCTCGAGGAGCTTTAGATTCTTTTTAACTTAAAACCTTTCCTAAAATATATAGAAAGGGGAGTTAAAGACATAATATTCAATCAAATAGCTAAAAAATACCCCTCTTAATTATTTATTATTTTCTTAGACATTTAATGCCTTAAATAAACCTGAATTTGAGTGATATTAAACTTCAATTTATCTCATCGATACATTTATTTTAATTATAAGCGCGCAAACTTTGTAGATCATTTAATTCAAAATAATCTTAAAAAAAAAATAATTATTATTATGAGTGTTTGATTTATGCTCATTTGAACTAAAATAGAACATGTTTGATATACTAGGATTCATCTCATTTATGTAAATTATAAAATTGTGAAAAATAAAAATAGAATTTAAATCAATTTCTAAAATTTAGAGAAAATTTTAAGACATGAAGATTATGTAAATTTGTGTTGACTATATAATTTTTTTGGTGATGCATTTAATAAGTTCTAATGTTTGTTGGTAGTGATCGAAATACATCTGATTTCCATACAAACATCTAAAAATTTTCATGACTGACTTTGGTTTTCAATTTTTAAGACTGTCGAAGTTTGATCTTTTTCAGTATCAGTGACGAATTTTAATACAGAGAGAAGAAAAATAGGAAAAATAATGAGTGGCCGAGACGCGCGCAAGTCGGTTGGTTGAAAGGCGCCGCGTCCCGCCTGCTTCCTGCATTCATTGTCTCCGGCCTGACGGCGAAAGACCAGTGAAGTGACCACCACAAAAGCAGTCTGCTTTCTCCCCATTTTTTCTTCTCTTCTTCTTCTGCTCCGTCCACCGCTTATGAAAAATGCCCGCTCCCTCACGCCCTAGAAAACGACCCACAATCATAGTCGGTTCGGTCGATAATAGCTCCTCTTCGTCCTCCTCGGACGACGAAGAAGATGAAGAGGAAGTAGAAGATACAGTTGACGACGAAGATGAAGAGAAGGGGAAAGGGCGAAATGGTTCTCTTTCGGGGAAAGGAGCCGGAAAGAAAGCTCCCGCCATCATCATATCTCTCAAGAAAGTCTGCAAGGTTTTTTATGTCCTACCTTCTACCGGCGTCCGCCTCAGTTTTTCAAACTTTCCTCTTCTATATTTCATCTTATTTGCTGCCAGGTTTGCAAGGAAGAGGGCCATCAGGCAGGATTCCAAGGGGCGAACTACATCGACTGCCCCAGAAAGCCTTGCTTTCTCTGTAAAATGCCCGGTATGCTATCTCTTGACTCGTTTGAAGCATAAAGCTGCAGTTTTTATTGAAATTTTATAAAATTTGTTGTTTCTACGCTGAGAAACTGCGTGAACTTATAGCATTTGATCTTCTTCCGGTAAATTGGTTATTTTTTTTCTTGAATTTGGAGTCTCAGGCCACACGACAATGTCTTGCCCGCATAGAGTGGCTTTGGAGCATGGAGTGGTTCCAGCACTTAGAAAGAACAAACAGACTCAGTTGGATTATGTGTTTGAACGTCAACTGATGTCTCAAATTCCGAAGGTGAGACTTCGGAGTGATGGTTTGGTTTAGCATTTCTCTATTCTACTTCCTTGATTTGCGATGTATGGGTGATGCTTCGTTATGTGATTTCATAGGAATTTAGGCTTCGTTTGGCACCGCTTTTTTAATGCTTATTAAAGCAGTTTTTTTAGTAAAAAATTAAAAGAAGCATTAGTACTAAAAAGCTGCTTTAAGAAGCATTAGTACTTAAAAAACTGCTTTAAGAAGCATTAAAAAACCATCCCAAACAAAACCTTAGTGTTACATCACCTCAATATTTATTACTGCTAGTTTACCACTAAAATCTTGCTTAAGGCTTGGTTTTAAGTGAGGTTCTCCTTGACTGATCAAAGTCAAGTGCGGGGAGGGTTGTTTTCATAATAAATGAGAACTTATCAGTTTATCTTGGTAAAAATTAAAGGGATATGCTCTTTAGGTTAGCACTAACTAATCTATGTGGTGCCTTTGTGTAGTTCATAAATTAAGGTGGCAAACTAGTAGTATTAGTGATTAGGATAATATGCCAATAAGTGAATTAACATTCTTAGATTTGTCAAATTCCGAATTATAATGAAAAATCCATCTAAGTATTGATTACTGATGGCTCTTTTTTATTCCACAAAGCCCTAGTTTGCATAATGCCATGCATCTTTGGCTTTGTTTGTAACAGCTTTTTTACTACTTCTTAAAGCAGCTTTCTAGTGCAAAATTTTAAATTTTTGTACTAGAAAGCTGCTTTAAGAAGTAGTAAAAAAGCCGTCGTCCCAAACAAAGCCTTATAGTTTGGTGTTCTTTGGTAGTTGCATGATTTTCCAATATATATGGTATTTGCTTTACTTATCATTCATTAGCTGTATATTGTCTTGGCGATGATAGGTTTTTGCCAATGCTATCTTTTTAATTTCATTTTGCTTCTATCATCATTGAAATTACTTGGTTAGAAATGTGCTTATAACATTTGAACAACTTAACTTATATTGCAGATCAAGCCCACATTTGTAATCCCTGATAAATTGGATCGCGGTGTTGTTAAGCTCCATAGCCGGCGAGTGACAAGCTTGGAGTTCCATCCAACCATGAACAGCGTACTTCTATCAGGAGACAAGGTATTAGATGTGTTCTTTGAGTTGTCATTTGGCTTGGTTGAGAAATCTATTAAGTTTAAATGATCATTAAATGCATGTTTTATAGATATATTCTTTATATTTCTTATGATTACTATTTATTAATAGAAAGGGCAAATTGGAATATGGGATTACAGCAAGCCTAATGAGAAGACAGTCTATGGATCTATACACTCCTGCATAGTTAATAACATGAAGTAAGAGTCACAATTATTGTTCTACTTCCTTTGTTTATAATTTCATTCATAGAATCCAAGTTTATATGTCTTTCCTCTTTCAGGTTTGACACCAGAAATGATATCATGCTCTATACTTCATCATCAGATGGAACCATTAGTTACACTGATTTGGAAACTGGAATTGGGGTTCTTTTGATGGATATTAACCCCAATGGGTGGAATGTAGATACTCTTCTTCTATATGCTTTTATTTCCACTGTGCTTCAGTTTCTTCTTCTATATATATTTTTGAAGTTGATCTTGATTTCATGAACTGATTGAATGCTCTTAAATGTTATTGAATATAAAGTATGCATTCTGCTGCCTGAATGATTGCTTCATTTCTGGATTATGTCTGTGGAGTTGTACTGAATTGTTTGTGGACATATAGTTTACTTTTTCTGGGTGATTGTTTATGCCTAGCTTTTTATACCTTTTAGTTATAGTAGCTGATTAATTAGTCAATCCAGGGAGACCTTATAGTGACTGAAATGGAATGGATAGATTATGTTGTAAAGGTCCTCTAAGATAGAAATTTTTTTAGCTCAATAAGATTATCATATATGATATTACATTTTTTTTTAATTAAAGCTTAGCGGCCATAATTTTCATTTAAGATTTCTTACCTTTAGGCATGAATAAAAGAAGTCCATTTGGATGAATTCATGCTTTATCTTTCCACTCAAATTGCTTGTTTTATTTATCATCCAGTTTTCCTGTGGATATATTCTTCATGGTAGATTGAAGGAGAGTCTTGGGAATGCAGCAACAAGGTTCACAGGAGCCTAGAGAAATATGGTAAAAAAAAGGGGGAATAGAGAAAATTGGAAAGAAAAAAAAAAGGAGAATGTCCATGATTATTCTTATTCCATATCCTTTCCAAATAAATGAGTATATATAAAATTGAAGTGGTATAGATATTCCAAGTGTAGAGTAATATCCTACAACTGATTTAGTGTTGTATGTTGTGCCAACATCATCCTTGTGGTTCATTCGGTTGTTGATTAAAAGCAGAAAGCCCATAGTATTATCGTCTTTGATGCACATACATGAACACGACGACACAGACACTATACGAAACAGGACATGTCAATTATTGAAAATATAGGACAAGGACACGGATTGGACACAGTATTATAATTTTAATATTTTAAAAATAGTGATTAAAAATTGAATGAGTTTAATATTTAAAATAATTTAGAAACAATAAGTTAATTAACTAGAATTTGTTCTTAAAATGATTAATATTAGGATGTCGAGAGTCGAATGTCGATGTTGTGTATCAGGCATTGAGAGAGGAGACAACAATGTTGTCGAGAGTCGGGCATTGATGTTATGTAGTAAGGTATCAAACAAAAATGTCAAGAGGACATTTGTCGTCGATGTTGAGAGGGCGTTGGTCATCGATGTTAAGATAACGTTGGACAAAAATGAGTTGTCAAGTTGTAGATGTAGATTTTGCTAGTGTCGAGCATCAATGCTAAGATAGTGTCAGACTTTGATGTTGAGATGGTTTTGAAATATCGATATTGGAACAATGTCAGACGTTAATGTTTATTGTTGAGATGACATCGAGCATTATTATGAAACCTAAATTGTGACTTGCCAAAGAGAAATGAAAATGAGAATATTTGATGAATGTGATATTGAGTGCGGGTGATTGATTTAGTGTTATGGATAGAAAATAAGAAATTTAATTTTTATATTTAAATAAATAAAAATATTAAATACAATAAATTATATTTAAAAAAATCATAAAATATATAAGACACGCCTGTCGGTCACGTGTATCCAATTTATATTTAATATTTTTTTAACCGGACACTTTTTCGACATGTCGGATACATGTCGGAGGCATGTCGTGTTGGATACGTGTCGGACACTATATGCCTTTTTGAGGAGAAATATTGGTACATCATAGATTATAGTAGACATGAAAGATGATTGATGTGCTTAGCTCGTTGATCAGAGAAAGAATATAGTTGCTGTCCATAGGCGTTGCAATTGTCTGTAAGTTGTTCTTTCTCCCTTGAAGCAAAGACCTTATCCACAAGACTAGAAGATGGGTATGCTTCTGTGAAATCCACAAAAGGTAACCAAGTAGAACTTTCCAAATCTAGTTCCTTCCAAAGAACCAAGAACTTTGGTAGCAACACCTTCAATGATTATTTTGGTTTGTAGAATAGCTACTAGTTTCATGAATGGATGACTATCAATACTTCTTGGGAAAGCTTTTGCTAAAATTATGAATTAGTAACATTCGGATTGTGATTTTTTGTGTTTTTATCTTACATAGCAGCGAAAGTTGTATTATAAATCTGAAATCCTTACCTGTCCTACATCGCAGGAGCTAGAAAATTACTTCATATATCTACCTGAGAGATGATATTTGAGTTGCATGCAAATAATCTTTTACAATATATTTTCTTTCATACTTATAAATTTTACTATTTTAAACTAAACACTATTATGGACGTGAGTGCATATAGCATAGCTTTTTTTCCTCTGATCATGCTAAACTATCTGAGCCATACCTGATTTTTAGGGTCCATCGACGTGGCGGATGCTATATGGCATGGATATTAACTTGGATAAAGGTCTTTTACTTGCTGCAGATAACTTTGGTTATCTTTATCTGTGAGTACTCAGTTCTTTAAACCTAGAAGTAGTTCCTTAGTACTGGTTGGGTATTTGACCATTATATTTGTTTATTTTCTACTACTATTTCTTGTTAATCAAGAATTCTGTGTTATGAAAGGGAAGTAGGTAGTTTCAGCAACAAGTTTTAATCTTCCTTTATTATTTCTTGAGCATACTGGTAATACTTTTCTTTAATTTTAAAATGTGTTAGGCCGGTTCAAGTGGAACCGGCCCAGCAAGGGCCGGTCTGGTTCTAGTCCGCCTCCTCTATGGTTGCTGCTTAAAGCCATGGGACCCACTATTTGAAGTAAGCTAAAAATAGAAAAAAAGGGGAAATTAAGGTATTAAATAGGTATGAGATGTTAGGGTTAGGGTTATGCTTATTATTGTATTCTCTTGGAGTTCTCTTGGGTGTCTTGGCCTCTAGATTCATCGTCTAGAGGTTGGGAGAGAACGATCCTCCTCTCGAATTGAGGATCAATTGTATCTTTACTTGTTCTTGCTTTTGGTTTAATTCCTATAATATAATCTATTGTTTTGGATTGTTTTTATTGGAGATACTGAGATTTTCGCGCTGTTTTTATCAATCTTGTTAGAATTTACTTGAAATATTCACGTATTTCTATCAAATGTTCATATTTCTGCATCTTAATCAACATTTATTGTAGCTCATTTTTTCCTTGAAATACATTAGGTTTGATACTAGGGAAAAGGTGAAGATTGGAGAATCAATTCTTATTCATAGAAAAGGCAGCAAGGTTGTTGGACTACATTGCAATCCTACACAACCAGATCTCCTCCTAAGTTGTGGAAATGATCATTATGTGAGCCCTTTATTCTTATAGTTTTGATTCACATAGGCATGTTATAGTACTTTCTTTGTTCCATTTACTTATTATTGACATCCGGAGTTTGTTTGTTTAATTTAATTCAGGCTCATATATGGGACATTCGTCGATTAGAAACTCAATCTTTCCTTGCCAGTCTTGCTCATGGTCGTGTTGTCAACTCAGCCTATTTTTCTCCACATACGGGAAGTAAAATCCTGACAACATCTCAAGACAATCGGATAAGAGTGTGGGATTCAGTCTTTGGAAATTTGAATTTGCCCAGTAGAGAAATCGTCCACAGCCATGATTTTAATCGTCACCTGACTCCATTTAAAGCTGAGTGGGATCCAAAGGTTCTTTAATTTCTAACCCTAAATTGAAAAATTTTCCCCTTTTTTTAAATTTGTTCTTGAATCTAAATTCTAATAAGAATAATCTTACAAAGGATCCTTCTGAATCCCTCGCGGTAATTGGTCGATACATAAGTGAGAATTATAATGGTGTGGCATTACATCCCATCGATTTTATAGACACCAGCACGGGACATCTTGTTGCAGAGTTGATTGATCCGGATTTAACCACCATTAGTCCAGTAAACAAGCTACATCCTCGTGATGATATTCTGGCAACTGGGAGCTCCAGGTCTGTTATTTCTCAACTACAAGTTTTAAACCTTTTGCCAGTCAAGTATTCTATAGATTTTGCTCTTTCTTTTTTGCATTGTATGTGATAGTCTGGTTTAAGGGAATTTCATATTTTATGTTATTTCTGATAGGTCTGTATTTATTTGGAGACCGGGGGGGTTGAAGGTTGAGGACAAAGAGGTTGAAAGGAAGAAGGAAATCATATTTTGTAATACTGGGAAGAAATCTGCTAAAGAGAAATTTAATGAAAGTGATGATGATGATGATGGTGATGATTTCCCTTCCAAAGGGAAGAACAAGCAACAGAAGAAATATGGAGGTAAATCTGATAAAGCTGGTTCAAGTAAATCTAAAATAGTCAAAATCTAGTCTTGTTTTAAGATTGAAAGAGGTAAAAAGAATGCTTGATTGTTTTCTTTTTGCTCTCATTTTCTGGCCTCTTTTTGAATTTTTGGCAATACCTGCTTTTGAATTACCAAAGGATGATTTCATTGAAGGGACAGAGAACTATTGTCTCAGTTTTTTGAAAGTGGTGGGGGTTACTATAGTACATGGCCATTTTTGTGGATATATCAATGGGTCGGGTCGGCGACTTTTCTTAATGCTACGTGTCGCTAAAATATTGGTGGCCGAACGTAGAGGAGCGTACGTTCACCGAACCAAATAATTGTTCTTGTTTTCTACTTCTGAGTTCAAAGATCATAAGTTTTGGCTACATTTACCATCTAAATATAGCTGTAGATGTTTTTTTTTCCATTTTTCTGCATCAGGTAAATGTTTTGTCTGTATTTTTTTAAAGTTAGCAGAGCAATTCAGAACAAAATAATAATCTGGCGCAAAATAAATATGTTATCTGAATCCACAAAATACTTGGTAATTTTTATATATTTATTTTATTAAAAATAAGAAGAAAAAAAAAAGTGATGGGCAATTGTGAGGTTCAGCTATGAAGTACCGAGCTTATGTATTTGTCGTCCATTGAGCTCTGGGCTAGTTGGATCCGCGGCGTTGCAAATCTGAACCCCGACCCTGATGCTCTTGCTGACGTTGTTGGTGTAAGAGATCGGAAGGACCAAGCCAGCGATGGTAGTGCTCGAAATAGAGAGGAAAGATCGAGCAGTTCCGACAAGATGAGTGATTGGAGGAAGTAATAGTTGCTGCTGGTGTTAACAGAGCTCGAAATAGTTGCGTAGATCCGGTGAGATGGGCGATCGGAGGAAGCTGCAGTTCTTTATTGTTTCCAATCGGAGATGCAGGAGATTGGGGATGAGCGGTTTTTGGCAGAGCTGGAAATAATGAGCAAGCTAGGATCGAACAGTCTGATGGGATGGGTGGTGGCCACAGTAGGAAAATCATGATTAGAAATTATTCATCAGTGTTCTTTGCCGATGAAGTTTGGCCGGGTCTCTTTTTTTTTATTTTTAAAAACAAGTAGAATTTATTTTAAAGTGTTTTTTTAAATAAATCAATTTATTTTTACAAATTAAAATAAAGTACCAAATATATTTCATTTTAATTAAAAAGCAACTAGTAAAGTACTTTTTTTCCTTAAGAAAAAAACATTAACCTATCTTCCATTTTCATCTGGACTCTAAACCAAAAATAAAGATTTCATTTTTGATATATTTTGATTATTATTTTTTGTTATTTCTAAAATATTTTTATGAGCTTTAGTTACTAATTAAGATATTTTGAATTTGAGGCTTGTATATGATATTTATATAAATTTGATAATTTTGTCTTAATGATTCAAATGTTTTTATTATATAAGCGTATTTAATAAGTTCAATATAAAAGTGCAGTAGAGAAAGTACATAATTACAAATGTTGTTCGTATATTGGATTTTTTTCTCTCAGAAATAAAGCCAAAGTTTCAGAATTGGTTCCAATGTTTAAGTAGAACGAAAAAAAAAAATCAGAGAAACACTATCAAATATACCCTTGATTTCCAAAGTACAGCAGGTTAGTAGTCTCCCATTTCACGCTAAAAATAGCTGATAACTAACTACAACAAAAACACCTCAGAGGCTGAACTGATCGATGCAAATCTTTTTTTCTTTTACATGGAAAGAAGCACACAAAATCAGAAAAGAAAAATCGAGCAGCATCATTGTTGATCGGTACTAACCTGCTATTCCTGCTGGCTTTCTAATCTATCTTCAATTAGTTTAACCTTCTTGACGTTCTCGCTGTTGATGTTTGAGAGCAGACTCAAAGCCGACTTCAACTGAGAAACCTGATCATTTGGAACATAATTCTTTCTCCTTCCAGAACCTAACATTGCCACTTTCGACAAACTAGCAGCTGAAGTCTGAAGATATCTTTTCAGGCGAGTATTCAATGCATCAATTGCAGAATGAAACTCATCCAACTCCAGATCTGTAATTCTATCTGCATTTACATTCAGAAGATGCCAATTTTTTGTGATTTTATGTACGTGAAAGACAGTAGTGATAGTGTTTAGAAATGAGGTCATAATATATACCTAGATCAGCGTTGAATTCTCTTTCTGCTTTTGAAAGTGGCTTTTTATTTGCAGCAGGTAATACTTCAAAATTCTTTAGACGCTGCTCCAATAGCTCATATACTTTGAAGGCACGGCTGATTCGTTCTTCTACTCCCTTTTCATTCTTCTCAAGCTTTGAAAGGCGCTGTTCTACCTCTTTCAAGCGTTTTAGTTGGGTGTCTGTTATTGTCTTCACATACTCACCATGTTGTTCAAGCTCGATATACACCTGATCATATTGCAAAAAGCGGATCTCATTGCTGATTGGAAGAATTTTATGATCAATTTATTGGTATTGTACAAGTGAAAAAACTAACTTTGCTAATAATCTATTCCATTGTTGCCAATAAGCTTAAGTTATCTTCAGCTGATGTAGGGATGTAAACAAGTCGAGTATTTGCTTAATCGAGTTAAGCTCGTTTAATTCTTACTGAGCTCAACTCGGGCCATTTACTAAGCTCAAGCTTGTTTAGAAAGCTCGAGCTTGACTCGATTGTTGAGCTTGATTTCTTAGTTTTAAATTAAAATTTTCAATTTTTTTAGAATTTTTATTTTTAATATAAAATTAATTTAAAAGGTTAAATATATTATATAATGCTAATTTGAATTATTTTAAATATATATTTTAAGTCAATTGAGTTGCTCAACGAACTTATGGGCCGAGTCAGGCTGAGCTTGAGCTCGTTTAATATACTAGCTAGAGTATATGCTCAAGCTCAACTATGATTTATACAAAGTTTGCCCTAAAACTGTAAAAGGTGAATAATGATGATTATTGATTGATTTATGCTTCATTTGGGATGAGTGTTTTATTGCTTCTTAAAGTAACTTTTAAATACAAAAATTAAAATTTTTATGCTAAAAGACAGCTTTAAGAAGCAGAAAGAAAACCATCCCAAACGAAGCCTTTATATTAAATAAACTTTTGAGATATCAAGTTCCTATCTCTCTCCATCCCTCATTAAATTCCATAACCTTCAACACACCTTTCTAACTACCACACCACCGTGCTAAGCTTATGCATTCCAAGAATGTATCATATGCTTCCTATAATGACCAATATAGTCAACATTATTATAATAGGAGGCATCATAAATTTCTCTTCTTATCATATACTCATGTCCCTTACTCTACAAAAAATTCATATAGTTTATATCATGATTGTTATTGATCATATCATGATGATCATGCATATTCTCATACTTGATATCATGATAATCATATATGCTCTCATTAAAAAAAAATCATGATCTTGATCAATGATATTGTGATGACAATGCCCGCTCTCATCTCTGATATGACATCAATCCAATGTCAAGCCACTTAGATTGGCCTTATCCTAAACCTCATCAAGTCCCCAAACAACCTAAAATTTGTGATGAAATATTTAATTCTAAATTAAAATGGTGCCTTTAGGAAATAAAAAATCTCAAGTCACTTCACTGTCCAGTTACTATAATATCAACTTCATGAGTCCAACAATCTCCACATCCGTGTCTGAGCTTAAGTGAGCTGATGTGATTAATTTTGAGCTTAACTTTTTATTTGTTGATGCGCCGAGCTAGAGATTGTAAAAGCGGTCTAACCATAGATTGATGTTGCACTTGAGTTTGAGGAATCTTCAACCACTATTGTTACCCCAAATCCTTTATAGATAAAGATGCAAATCATTTTCAACTTCTGTTGCCTTCTCTATCACCACCTAACCTTACTTTTCCACAGTTTCCATCAGTAGATTGCCCTTTAGTGTAAAAACATGATGGCAGAGTATAAAGTATTATCTAGATTCCCCATAACTGATTAAGATTCTTATATAGGATGTTACTCAATTCTTTCTATTATTATTGTCTTTTTCATTTGTATAGTGGTTTATTTTATATTGCATCCGCTATCAAAATCAAACTACATAATACTAAGTTAAGTGTGGCAGAGACGAGGATGCTCAAGTGGATGAGTGGCTTTACCTTTAGAGATAGGATACGAAATGAGCATATACGTGAAAAGGTTGGAGTAGGTCCAGTAGAAGATAAGATTAGATAGAGTCGTCTTAGATTGTTTGGTCACATAAAATAGCGGCCTTCCAATGACTCGGTTAGGAAAGTAGAGGTATTAGATTTGACTTATGTTAAGAAAGATGGAGACAGACCTAAAAAGGCTTGGTTAGAAAATATTATGAATGACCTTTCTTTATTAGATTTAAACGAGTATTTGACTTTTAATAGGACACAATGGAGAAAAAGGATTCATCTAGTCGACCCCACGTAGTGGGATAAAGACTTGATGTTGTTGTTGTTGTTGTATCACAATCAAACTACAATAGGATCTTAGCTCATATAATTCATGACGTGTGTCAAGATGCAGCTCAAAAATCTCTAAATTCTTCACAGATTGTTTGGTCATCCACACTAGTACTGGCTCATCATGATAATTATCGACCACCTCCATGATCGCTAGACTAAAGCACCTACATATTTTTGGGTTACTATATATTGTCCAAATCAGCTGCCATCACCACAATAGTCACATCCAGCTCTTCAAAGAAAGAGTTTCTTTCAACCATAATGAATTGATGCAAGATAATCACAATCGAATTAATCTTGGTTACTATATATTGTCCAAATCAATCTTTACAACATGCCCATTTAATTATTTGCACATGTTTTAGTTATATTTTAATTGCATAATAAAAATATTACATTTTGTCATATTAATTTGAGTTATTTTAATATGCATTAAGCCCCGTCTTATATAGAAGATAGGGGTATAGTCCAAGAACTATAAATGCGGAATGATGTCATTGATTGAATGAATATGAAATAAAATTTTGGGATCTCAACTTTCCTCTCTCTCTCTCTCTCTCTCTCTCTCTCTCTCTCTCTCTCTCTGTAGCCATTGATTACTCTTTCTCCCTCTTCCTCACCTCTTTCTCTTCCTTTCTCTGTTATTTTTCTTTATTAGCAACAAGTTTGAATGATGATAAATATATCAATAAATAATACATGTGGAAAACGAGATGAAAATAAACCTACTGAAAAACTTAATTTTGTTGGCTTCTCCAAACGATTTCAGTTTTTATTACTTTCTCCAAGCAAAATGCATATATTATGCTTGCAAGCAAGGAGCTAAAAGATTTCATTTCATTTTATGCATGTCAATGCAAGGTGTTCGCAAAGGAGCAAGTGGAGCAATGTGTGTAGGAGACAAAGACAGACACAGGGAGATGAAATTCAAATTGTTTATAGGAAGGGAAATAAAAGGAAGATACAAATGAGAATTAAGGTTTAGATTTGTAGAAATTGACCCTAATCCCTAAAAAAGAAGAAATGAGGCTTGTTTGCCCCATTGATGCATGCATACAATTTTGCTAGAGAGAGGGCAAGAAAGACAATAGGAGCATCCTTACGACACAAGCTGACGACAGCCATACACTAATTTCATTTATTTTTTTCAATCTTTTTTAAAATATTACATATATTTTAATAAAAAAACATAAATTATACTATATATTTTATCATTACACATTTTTCTTTTCTTTTTCAAGCATATGTTCAAACTCCCCATAAATCACCTCACATTTGGAGAAATTTCATACTCTCATCATGTTTAAATTGTACAATTAAAGGTTCGCCTCAACCGAATTTTTTAGAAAAGGCAATGTGGTGTATACATCATGCTTGCCATTTGAGGCTTATGCCTCAATGGGGGTGAGTTGCATCTCAAGGCATGCCTCAACACAATTTTAACATGATCTTAAAAAGGCATAAGCCTTAAAAATTAAAGTTGAGGTCATTTTAAATTTTATATTTACTTTATATATTAAATCAAACTTATTTACTATGCTTAAATCAAACCAAACTTGAGAATAACTATACGACTTCAAACTCATAATTGCAGAACCCTCATACCTTCACCCTATCTTCTTACATTACCATCTATGTCACCGCTATTATTATATCATCACTACTTCTCCACCTCTCCTCTAGTTTTTGGCCTCATTTTTAGTGTGAAAGAAGAGAGAACAATATCTAATTGATGATAGTGGGCATAACTATTTATTTATCATCGCATGTAGTTTTGTATAATTTTAATGGCTTTACTTTGACGTTTTATGTTTTTATTTTAATATTTTACTTTGGTGCTAATATATTACTTATTATTTCATATTTTTTTCTTAATTTAATAATTTAATATTGAGGTTGATGCCTCCAAATACCTCGAGGCTTATGCCTCACCTCATAGGAAAGAAAAGTCTCAAAATCTGCTTGCAAAATTTCAAACCTCATCTCATCCATCCTCAATAAAATGATGTGTTCTCATACAAATGTCAACGCCCCAAACCACAATTATCATTCCTTATGAAATTATGGGCCGAGTTGTGCTTAAATGGATTATGGCTTGTTCTAATGTTGAATTTGATGTGTGAAAATATTGATGTCAATAAAAATTAATTTCAAGCAAAACTAAAGCCCGTAAAGTCATATAACATATTAGGTCCAACGTGAAAAATTTAAAAAACTTCGAAGTTTTTTTATATTACTCCAATTTTTAATGCATTAGATTTGACTTTATAACATGAACTATGAACTATGAACCAATAATGTAGATTCTTTTCTTCTTAGATCTCCTTCTGCTTTCACATCTGCAATATCATCTATTCATTTTGAAAATAAAAATACTAACATAATTTCTTTAATAGTTATTCTTGATGAAGAGACAGTGTCCACTATTAATGATGGAAATCAAAGATACCTTATTAAATGAAAAGACAGACTTCATGTGATAACTAATGGTCCTCTTGACAAAAACTCCAACAATAATCAGCAAATTATTAGAAGAATATCAAGTAATTTATGGGAGTCAGATTTTTCCAAATCAATCGTAGAGTGGTGCCTCTGCTTTATAAATACAATTTCTTACCCAAAGGATTGTAGTTATCTACAGCCCTTATTCTACCAAATAGGCTATTCTAGACTGAAGCTATTTTGTGATTCTTGTTCTATTTCCAGTTTATCCAAAATTGTATCTCCTTTACCTCCTATTTTACCTATTTTCATGGACTATAACATACAATCCAAAACTATAGCATTATACGACTGCTCCTTATCCGGGACAACAAACTATCATTATAGTTACCCATTTCTTTTGTTTGACTTCGACTAGATTTCAACAATGGATTCATGCTTCATATCTATGTCATTAAGTGCATCCATAAATAAGAGAGCCAATCCATAACTACAGCATTATACGACTGCTCCATATCCGGGACAACAAACTATCATTATAGACTTATAGTTACCTATTTCTATTGTTTGGCTACGACTAGATTTCAACAAATGATTCATGCTTCATATCTATGTCATTAAGTGCATCTATAAATAAGATGACTTTGAGGCATGTAAGAATAACTCTAGTTTAAATAAGATTTTAATTTTATGGATGAGAAGTTTTCTTAGTACTTTAAAGTCTTTATTCATTGATCAGGTACCATGAAGTATTTCGAGAGACAATCTCTTTGTTCAAGTAAGAGACCTACTATTAAGTTTAAACTTTTCCTTCATTTCTCTTCTTTTCTTTATTTAGCTATTGACTGATTATGTGATTGGCGTGTTTACAAACTTCTTACATAGCTAGCTTCATTTAAATGCATAATATATTACTATGATTTGATGATTGTTCTTATTTCTTATGTTTACTTCATTAGCGAATCAAAACTTTTCACTGGAATTGAATTTTAGCTCATGTTATTCATCATTATTAGCAGTAATTAATTATTTGTGTTGGTCTACTTTCCCAATAGAGTTGCATGTTTATTTTTTCACTTGTTGCACTAGCTTCATTGCATCTCAATTAGAAAATCTTTAAAAATACATCACATACTTTTCATCTGATGAACTACGAATATGCATATTAGATTCACATCAGAAACCCTATAATCTAAAATAAATTGCACCACCTAACATGCACGTAGAGTGAAGCTATCACTGAGAAATATGAAACCAAATACAACTATCAACTTTAATTATATATAACTATCTAGAATTAACCAAAAATTGCATCATTAATATGCACAAATAGCAAATATAGAATATTGATATAAGAAAACAATCATTTTTGCGTGAAAATGGAACCTCTTTGGTACCTTATGTGCATATTCCACATAGTTTTCATGGAAGAGCTTGATATAGTGATGGAGAGTAGATCGACCTTCAATAGAATCAGGAGTCAAGGATCGAAGACTTGTTGATGGAGGAATTATGATAGCTTTTGGACCACTAAGAAGTTCTTTGCTTAGGAGATCAGAAATTATGGTCTCGGTTGAACCAGAAGGCTTCATATCCAAGTCAAAGTGGGAGGGAAGCATCTCATTCCAACCTTTCATTTCCAGCACAATACATTCATTAGTGGGTGTCACTCCAACAAATTGTGAATGACCATATGAATCTGCCACCACGGCAAAACCACAAAGAGCTTGAGGTGAAGATTCAGAATGGGACGTCGTGAGAATTGGGCACACAGATGACGTTGCCGCCTCCATTTCAGGAATCATATTTGAAAAAGGTAGGCAATGTATAATAATCATGTCCACACCACCACTATGTAAACAGTAAAATCTCTCAGATACAAGGGGATCAGGGAAGAGTGAAAGCAGACAACGATTCAATGCGTTTTTAGGCAATGATAAGTCCACAATAGCTAACTTCAATAATAGAAGGGGATCTCTGTAAGAAACAGCAGCAGAAGCACCCTGCATGTTTGCTAATTCATGTTCAACTCGTTTGTGGCTTATTGCTGACTCTTCCAAATCTGATTGACATATCACTGCAACACCCTCAATATTACCAGAAGTGTCTACACGAAAATGGGGAGAGCTACCAGCTTTCCAAAGTGGCTGAGCCTCATCTATCAGAGCATCAATCTGAAGCAAACCACTGCTCCAAGCAATCACAACAACAGAATCCTTTCCAATCGAGCAGTAAAGAAAGTTTACTGGCTTGCCTTCACAACCTGTAACTGAAACATAGGGCTCATCAGTTTTTTCTCCATAGGAAGCGTATACAAGAGGTCCCTGTAAAAGCAAAGAGTTTACTCTTTAACTGTCACCGAGTAATAACTTACGTAAGTAAAACATCACTATAACAAAATTCAGCATTTACCAACAACAACAAGAAGTCTTTATCCCACTACTAGATGGGGTTGGCTACATGAATCCTTTTTCTCTATTGTATCCTATTAAGAGTCAAATTCTCATTTAAATTAATAAAAAATGTCATTTCTAATATTTTCTAACCAAGTCTTTTTAGGTCTACCTCTACATCTCATAACATAGGTCAAATCTAATACATTGACTCTTCTAACCGGGTTATAAAAAATCCGACGTTTTATGTGACCAAACTATATAAGGTGTCTCTCTCTCTTATCTTATTTGCCACTGGAGCTACTCCAACCTTTATACATATATGCTCGTTTTGCATTCTATCTCTACGAGTAAAGACACTCATCCACCTTAGCATCCTCATCTCTACAAAACTTAATTGTATGCTTCTCTTTTAATGGCCAACATTTTGCGCCACAAAGCATTGCAGGCCTCACCACCATCTTATAAATTTTTTCTTAAGTTTGAGAGGTACTTTTCTATCACACAACAAGCCCGATGCATTCCTCCACTTCAACCACCTAAATTGAATTTTCTAAAAATATTCTCATATATTTCACCATCACTCTGGACAATAGATCCGAGATATCTAAAACGTGTACTCTTACTAATGACTTAGTCGCCCAAAACACAATCCCATCATTAGATCTATTACTACTAAAATTGCACTTCATCTATTCGGTTTTAGATCTACTCAAACAAAAAACCTTTACACTCTAAGGTTGACCTCCATAATACAAGTTTACCTTCAACTCTCTCTCTAGTCTTATCAACAAGAAGAATATCATCAGCAAAAAGCATACACTAGGGTACATCCTCCTGCAAATGTCTAGGAAGAGCATCCGTGACTAAAGCAAAAAAGATATGAGTTTAAAGTTGACCCTGGAAGTAATCCAACTGAAATAGGAAAATACTTGGTCCAACTTCCTTGTGTTTGAACACAAGTAACAGCTCCTGCATATATATCCTTAATGACTTGAGTGTAAGCATTAGTAACCCCCTTTCTTTTCTGAAACTCTCCTTCTCTTGGAACTTTATCATAAGGTTTCTCTAAATCAATAGATATTATATGTAGATCCTACTTATTCTCCCTATACCTCTCCATGAAACCTCTCAATAAATGTATAGCTTCCATAGTAGACTTACCCGGCATGAATCTAAATAAATTTTGAGAAACATTAGTATCACTTTGTAACCTAAACTGAATAACTCTCCCAAAGTTTAAAGTATGATACATTAACTTAATTCCTCTATAATTCGCACTCTTGTGCATCATTTTTATTCTTAAAAATAGGAATCAACACACTATTTCTCCACTCATTTAACATCTTTTTAGCTTTCAAAATAATATTAAAAAGTTTCGTAAGCCAAGAAATTCCTACATCTCCAAAGCATTTTCACACCTCTATTAGAATATCATCAGGTCCAACAACTTTTTCACACTTTATTTTATTTAAAGCCTCACTAACTTTGATTTTATTAATATGCTAATAAAAATTAAAATTTCTATTTTCATTTAGGGTACTAGGGTCACTAAAGAAACCAGAAAAAATAACTCATTCCAACTACAGTAAATGGTACTGCATTTACCATGAACCAATGAGCTATTTTTGCATGAAATGGCCAGAACTGGCTTGAATCACCTATTTTACTAGGGAATAGATAAATCGGTTCGGATTATGTAAAACTGGCTTATTCAACTTATACCTAATAAGTAGGGTTGATCGATGATCCAAGGGATAAATTTTTTACCATAAAACTTAAATATATAAAGTTTTATAAGTAAATCTAGGCATCTAGCAAGTGAGTTTTTATCATAACCCTATTCACTCAAATTCAATTCCCATTCCATAAACCAGAAAAAGTAACTCATTCCAACTACACGGTAAATGGTACAACATTTACCATGGAAGAAGGAACTGGTTTTGCATCAAACTGGCCAGAACTAGCTTGAACCATTTGTATACAAGGGCTAAATTTTTTACCATAAAACCTAAATATATAAAAGTTACCAAGTAAATCTTTACCATAACCCCATTCACTCAAATTCATTTTCAGTTCCCTCCTCATTGCGCCACCCCCCACCCCCACCCCCACCCCCCTCTTCTAAAACCAACTCTTCCAAAAGCGAGTTCATTTGTTGAATCACCTTCCCCCTTCCCTCTAGCAAGAAATTTCTCTCCCTCTCTCATAGTTAGACTTAGAATTGAACTACAGGCATATCTCCAGTTCTTTGCTTCTAAAGATGTAAGTTTTTAGAAAAACCTATCATACCTATTATTCATCTCATTGTATGATTTATTGAGGGATTAGAAAACTTTATGATTTGCAATCTCATTTATTGAGCAATTTCATAGTTTTTTAAGTGTTTTTTTATTAGTAAATTAGAAAACACTAACTTGTCATGTGAGAATGTCTCAATGGATTTAGGTTGAGGTTGATATTGTTAGGAGAAAAATAGAGAACCTAACTTTTCATTTGAAAACCCTAATTATGTATTGTTCTTAGGATGTTAACAATCATTATTCCATCATCGAGATCATATTTTAATCACATAATTACATTATGCAATATTATTGTATCATTATTATTATGTCATTTATATCATATTTAAATAATTTTACTAGCTATTATGTCATTTGATTCAACCTCCAATTCAACGTCAATCAAATCATTGAAACTTGAAACCCTCCTTCCAATTTTATGCCTGGTTCGATTTTCACAACTTTGCATAAGAATGAATAAATTCCACTGATTTATATTTCATATAAAATGTATGAAATATAAGGGTGATGGCTATGTTAGATGAATTAAACTGAATGTGTATGCATGTGATGGAAGACTGGATGATGATACCAACAATAGCTTTGCATAGTAGGGCAAATTATCAAGTTTGCCTTAATTATAATAAGAGGGCAAGTGTAGACCCTCATGCAAAGGAAGGTATAAAGTTAGAGTTGGGAATGTTAGATAAATTAAACAAAATTTAGATGCATGTAATGACATATTAGTTAAAAATACCCACAATAGTTTTGCGCAGAAGGGCACATTAACAAGTTTTCCATAATTATGATAAGAGGGCATTTGTACACCCTCATACCAAAGGGAGACATAAAGTTGTTGTACTATTTACATATAGTTTTAAGTAGTGTATGTTAATAGCGGATAGGCAAATAAGGTGATAACCTTGATGAGATATGAATAGGGATAGCTACAAGGATAAAATGCAATATGAGCTATCAATAAACTAATTGATAAGCCCAATTTTCATTTGCAAGATTACTAATATGAATTCATTATATACAACAAAAACAACATCAAGCCTTTATCCGACTACTTGAGGTTGGCTACATGAATTATTTTTTCCATTGTGTCCTATTAAGAATCAAATTCCCATTTAAATATAATAAAAAATGTCATTTCTAATACTTTCTAACCAAGTCTTTTTAGGTCTACCTCTACCTTCTTAATAGAGGCCATATTAAATACATCTATTATCTTATTGAGTCATCGACAGGCCAACATTTTATGTGACCAAATCATCTAAGGCACTCTCTCTTAATCTTATCTGCCAATGGAGCTACTCCAACCTTTTCACGTATATACTCGTTTTACATTCAATCTCTAAGTGTAAAGCCACTCATCCACCTGAATATCCTTAATTAATGGCCAACATTCTGTGTCATAAATCATTGTAGGACTCACCACCATCTTGTAGAATTTGAACTTAAGTTTGAGGGGTACTTTTCTATCACACAACATGACCGATGCATCCCTCCACTTCAACCATCCAACTTAAATTCTACTAATAATATCCCCATCCATTTCACCATCTCTTGAACAATAGGCTGAAGCTATCAAAAAAAATGTGCTCTTTTTAATGACTTGATCGCCCAATGTCACAATCCCACCACTAGATCTATTACTACTAAAATTACACTCCATGGACTCAGTTTTAGCCACGTTTAAACGAAAACCTTTAGACTCTAAGATTAACTTCCATAATTCAATTTTTTCTTCAAATCCCTCTCTAGTCTTATAAACAAGAAGAATATCAAGCAAAAAGCATACACTAGGGTACATCCTCTTACAAATACAAGCAAAAAATATTATTATTGCATTCATATGCTTCTTTCACATATGGCCAATTAGCCTTATAATATATTATATATTTCATTACAAGGATTTAATATTAATATATGTTATAACTAAAATGCATCTACTGATATTTATGTTTTATATTCATGGCATATTTTAATACTAACAATCACTGTAGGCATACATATTGTTTCTTTGTCGTGCATGGTTCTTTGGTAGACTTATTGCAACTTGTAAGGCTATATGCTTATGCAATTTACACATGTATTTTGTTACAAGAACAAGAAAAGAATCCAAGGAATACAACAAATCTAAGTTTATGTTTGCATTTCTAAGTTTGCAATGTAAGATCCAATGAATTGTTATAAAAATGATTTTTTTGGGATTCATCTGATGTCCAAATCACAAATGTTTTTCACTACAAAAGTACAAATAATGAACTTAATTAAACATTTTATGGAATTTTATAAGCATTGTATCATAATGGAGAAAGAGGTTGCTTGGATGACTTGATAGCATTACACATTTATCTCACATTTTTTTTTATAAAAGATAAGGTTTTTTAAATTAAAATTTTTATGAGCAATCAATGAAATAAGTACAACATGAAGAAATTACAAAGAAATGCTGCCAGAAAAACAAAAGAGAGAAATACTACATAAGGCAATAACAAAGCAATAAATCATTTGATGGAAGAAAAGAACTCCACGAGACTATTTTAATATCTAACTTGAAATCTAGTAAACCTTAGAGAGTAGCGACATATTTTCTTTAAATTTTACTCATCTTAACCTTGCTAAAATGTCTAGCAATTTTCTATCTATTTCTATAAGCTAAACTCTAAAAACCTTTTTTAGAGCTGATTGGGTTTTATTATACAGAATTTAAGTCTAAAGAGAGCAAAAAAAGGAAAGAGGGACAAGAGGCCACAGAAAGCTTGACATGCTTCATTGGAACCAAATCTTTAGGGTTTTCAAACATCATAAATGGGTTACTAATATGCTGCTTTAGTAAACAATGATTTATCTTCGTTTGCATGATATAATATATTTCCTAGGTGAATAAAGTTCTAGAACTAAAGGTCATAGACTTTCATTTGAAATTCTTTATGTTGTATTTTTTTAATTAATGGTCCACATGTGGAATTCCATAAGAATTAATGATATGCTAGGGAGGGCCACCTTGTGGGCCCAGGGGAGTTAATATTCACTATGTAAGGAGGAGAAATCAAGAGAGAAATAATTAGGAAGGTTTATTTAAGGAAAGATGACTGATTTGAATTCATATTTGGGAAGAAATTATGAAGGTTTTATCTAGGGAAAGATGACTTACTTGAATTCAGATTTGGAAGGGAATTAAGAATGTTTTATTAAGGGAAGGAGGGCTGATTTGAATTCAGATTTGGGAGGAAAATATGTTGGTTTATTAAAAGGTAATTAGGTTGTTTTATTTCATTATGTGATTTATGTTTGTTGTAGTTTTCTTAGGTGTTGTTCCTAGCGGCGTATAGGGTTGGTGGAAGAGCTGATCTACCTATTCAAGATATAATAAAAAATCAGCCCCTATCTTCATAATCCTATAGCTTGTACTTCTTTCTTTTGCTATTTTTACTTTCAAGACGTATCAATTAGATGGTGATCCATGCATCAAATTATCATTACAGCACATGAATGATATGGTAGAATATTCCAAAGATGCATTATGTTATGTATAAGAATTCCTATATGATGATTGATCGTTCTGCTTAAGGGATTCCATGAAACACATAAAACTCATGATGTTTTTAATTAAGAATGGTGCATAAAACTTAAAGATTTCATTCATTAATGAACCCATACATAACATAAAGCATCTCATATACACTCCTACAAGCTATATAGAAAATATAGGATAAACTATTGTCCTTTACAGCAAATTATTGTAATTGTTGTCCTTTTCACACAAAAAAACTAAACTATAAGAGTTTTATACAAATATCCTTAGTTTTTATAGTGATTTTATCATGGAAAGATGCTAAGCTGACACAAATTGCTAATATGAAATAGTAGGGCATACCTGTAATGCTAGAGATGCTTCTATGGGAGTATAAGGATGAGCTCTTAATAAAAAAACACTTTCTTCTTCCATCTTCCGCTCAACTAACTCAGGAAAAGTTGCTTCTAACCAAGTAATGGCCAAACCAGAGTTTCTGGCAACTGTTGGATTGGACGAATCCAACCCAACATGAGCATCTTTATAGATCTCCTTGACATGCATCAAACTGAAAAAACTGGGTAAAAAAAAATTCAACTAAAACTCATTTAAAAAGTCTTGCATCATGCCTGAGTTTAAAGAAATTTACATCAATGCAACATCACATTGAAACATTTTAACATTCTGTCAATTCCATTCTTTTTCAGTCTACTGAAAGTTGAGACAAGATGACTAGCAAGCAGAATCACATACAGATAATTTTAGAGGGAAAAAAGCCAAACAACAATCTAATCGCAAACTTCAATAGAGGAAAGTAATAAAATGTTGAAGTGCTCAGAAATTAAAGAACTACCTTCCAAATGGAACAATAGGGCAAAGAATGTACAGGGAACCATTACTGTATAAAATAAATACCTGCAAAAAACAACGAATCTCTAATTTATCAATATCCCAGTTTAAGGAGGCACTCACCTCCTGCCTTAAACTCTTGATTACATAAAAGTAAATAATAGCCTGCCATATAAAAAAAACCATAAAAGTCTAGATAACACATAAAAAAATTTGCCATTGCTGTATCCAATATATATTTCTTAAATTTAGCAATTAAATGTCAGAAGTGGAAAAGCAACATTTTGATAAGAATATTTTTTCTTTTAACAAAAACAATTTCCTAACAGCCGGAACCAGTCAGCCATTTAAGTGATTTGACAACCAGAAGAATCCTTTTTATGGAGAACATTTTTGGGAACAAAAAAAAAATCATAAATTGGCCAAAATCTTGCATGTTATGTCATCAAACTATTAGGGCAATAACATTTACTGCATTTCCAATTGCAGAGTTCAAACGTGTTCCTTGAACATAGCTCAAAAAATCAGTGCAAAAACAGATTACTGATTAGCAGTGAAACCTTTTTCTTTTAACAATAATGGTCTTCTATCTTTGAATGACTGTTATAGTTCTTGACGAATATCAACAAGCAGTAGAAATCTTCTTTTATGGCATAACTAAGAAAATCACAGAATGCGATGAACCTGCTAGCATGGGATAAAGCTGCCAAAGCTGGGAAATGAGGTGATTTAACTGTTCATGATTTTATATTTTATTATCATGGAAAAAAAATAAACTCATAGAAAACCTACCAGAAAAAAAAAACTCCCTCTTCTCAAAAACTCATTGCACTCGAGCTGTAAAAAGTACAATTTAATGGAAGAGTGGTTGGAGAATCAGTGCCTATTAAGGTGCCATAGGGTATAGAGATAAATATGTGAAGCTGTCTTTATTGCAAAATTTGAGCTCAAATGTAGAACGGTAATGATGATTCATTGCTCATTGAAAATGATTTAGCTCTTATCTCCTTCTTGATGTACAGACACTCATATGATTCGGTCATGTCATCATTAAACACTAGAATACCATTTGAGACATGAAATGCGTTCCACTTTATGTTTCTGAAAAACAATATGACGCCACTTAGAATTTAGAGCACATTACAACAATATTTTGGACAAGAACTAGCCACACGTCTCACTCACTAGATATATACCAAATGAATCCTTAGATTTTCTTATTCTTAGTATTGCTTTTTAAGTATTTATTACCTTGAAATAATTTATATTTTCAAGTATATTAAATAAATTGAGGAAGAAATTACAAGTGAAACTTAGTTGAAGAATGATTGCATCAATGCCATTAGAAATGAAATGAACAGTACGGCTACCAACTCATTCAAGAATCAAATCCAAAAACAGAAGAAGGCAATTTGAGCAGAGGAAATTTAAGCAGCATGCTCATGAAACAAATACTCATATTTCGTTAATTAGAAAGAAGATACTCACTGAAAATCTCTCCCACAAATGCTGACCTCCAAATGAAAATGCAATAGGACAGAATGAAACAGTATTTTGAATTCTTCCAAGTTCAGGCTGCAGATAAAATTCCTGCTCGGCTCGCTCTAAGTCAGATGACAAGTCAAATAGCCTGCAAATACAGTTAGAATTGTCATATTAATTATACCCTAATACTCTAAGGGGTGGCTTAGTTGTCAAAATTTAAGATAAAGTTACATTTAAATGTAAAGTAAAAAAGGCGTATTTTAAATATTCAGAGCTTTTTAGTCATATGTAAAGTAAATGAAAAGGTACTCTTGTCTTTGTTTGTCTGGTCATAAAGTAAACATTATTTTGTCTAAAATGCACTAGTAACCTTTGAAATATGAGGGCTATGAAGCCCGACGAAGGGAATTGTGAAGTTTGATGGAGGTGCTACAACATATGACAGAGGGGTCTGCAAAAGTCGGCAGGGGTGCAAATGCCAGACGTGTCTCATATCAAAGCCCTCTGTTGAAGATGGGGAAGCATGGCCTCGGGCATTGTCATGAATGGAAAACACACATTCGTGTAATTGAAACTCAATTGAATAGACCAAATTTTGACATCATGCAAAAACTCAGTAGAGGTATTAGGAATACCGCAAATAAATACAATCCTTGTTCTTTATTTTAAGCCAAACAGTGGAAAAATTAAAATACATATAAAATGGCTGCCATACACACTTTAATAGTTATCAGTGGCATTTCATCAACAGACCATGAGTCTTGTTGTGCCTATCAGCAATGAGGAACCTCTGGTTCTAACCTTTTATATGATGATATTTTGATCTTTGCAGGTGCTTCTATTTATAATATGAAGAAAATCCTCTCTATGCTACAGGACTATTGCTCTTGAACAGGCCAACGCAATAATCAAAGCAAATCAAATATCATGTTCAAAAAGCTCACTCCTCAATAGAAAAAAAACTAGGTTGTCCAAGTTGGCGAGCCTTAGCAAGGTAGAAGACCTACAGTACCTTGGAGTTAAATTGGCAAAGAGATGGCTTGTTAAGGCTGATTTTGCTCCTCTTATTCCAAAGGCTCAAGCTACTACTATTACTTGGGGGAATCGACATCTTTCCATGACTAGACGTGTAACATTGATTAATTCTTCTTTATTACCTTTGACTATGTATACAATGACACATTCCCTAGTTCCAAAGAGGGTTATGCAGGACGTGGAAAAGATCACCCGTAGCTTCCTGTGGGACAAGAATTTTGAGAGGCGGGGGCTTCATTATGCCTCATGGGACCAAGTTTGTAGGCCTAAAGACATGGGAAGTTTGGGATTTCATGCTACTTCCAGGTGGATTAGGCCCCTTTGGGCAAGACTGGCATGGGATTTTATCAACAAATCATATGGTTTACTCCAACAATGTATCTGAAGCAAGTATGGGGACAGTCCCTAGGAACAAGACTACAAACGTGGGGACTCTACAGGTTGGAGGATCATCTGTGGAGGTTGCTAATAGCTTGTAGAATTTTATTCGATGGAAAATACAGAATGGTAGAAACATTGATGCCCAGAGGCATGTTTGGATAATGGAGAGGCCCTTAGTGAATGGCCCAGCTTCTGTAATGTGGACATATTAGAAACTCTGAAAGTGGTTGATCTTATTAATGTTGAGGGAGACTGGAATATACAAGCACTTGAAACTTGTTTGGTCTGGCCCTTGTAGAACGAATCACTACAATCTCGATTGAAGGTGGAGAGCAGGATGATTCATTGGAACTTATTAAAAGCCCAATTGGCAATATGGTGGCTGCTATTGCTTACTGTGGGCTCCGAAAATTCGGCCCCGGCCTCCCCGCCGCGCTGATTATTTGCTTTTATCTTAGGCGAGGGAGTTTTAACAAAATAAGTTCCGGGGTAAATATTGGAAGGCATATGGGTTTGTAGATAAGACACTACCCAGATATTTCGCCCTCATTTTGTGAGGACTTTATGATCTGAGTTCTGGTTTCCTATAGGCGCAAGCCCCTATAGTTAATTACCCCTCCCGATAACGAGAGAGAACTTTCGATTAAGGCTAGTCGTCAATCAGATACGTAGAGATGCGTGTTATCTGGCATTTTACCACAAAAAATGCATGTCACACAGTTGTTGTCGAATTCATTTGTTAGTATAGCATATTTCCATGCTGGATCTTTTTTTAAAGATTGAACTGAATCTGACATTTTATGATCACTTAAAAGCAAACAAATTTAGATAAAAGAAACATAATATTGTCCAAGAAACATAATATGGGGGCTGCCGGGGGTCCAAGGGGGCGCTGCCCCCTGGCGGGGTTCGACCTGTTTGTAAGAGGAATTTTGAAGTTCGTTTGTATGGAAATTAGGAAGCGGTACCGAAGTTGTACCGAGCATTTACCGAGCTGTACCGAGCGGTATCATGCATGTACTTAGCAATACCGAGCATGTACTGAGCGTGTACCTAGTTGTACCGAGCTGTACCGAGTGGTACAAAGCATGTAACTAGTGGTACCGAGCATGTACCGAGCGGTACCGAGCATTTACATAGCGGTACCGAGCAGTATCATGCATGTACTTAGCAATACCGAGTGTGTACCGAACGTGTACCTAGTTGTACCGAGCTGGTACCTAGTTGTACCGAGCTGTACCAAGCGGTACAGAGCAAGTAACTAGCAATACTGAGCGGTATCCAGTATATACATAGAGGTACCGAGCATTTACTTAGCGGTACCGAGCATACCTGTTAAGTTGTAAATTCTTGTAAGAAATAGCCGTGCAAAACAACAGAGCTGTGCGGAACAGACGGAGGTTGCAAATCAGAGTCAGCTGGTAAGATTTTTAATTAGAACAGGCGAAGGAGGGGGCGGATTTGGCAGAAGCACTGCTCTGCGGGACGATTCAGCGGAAACAACGACTTCAACTTCGGGACAGATTCGGCTGGATTCGGCGGAAGTAGCGAATGCAGCAAATAGAAAACAGAAAAACTTCGACTTCGGGATAGATTCAACGACCTCGACTTAGGGACTGCTGTTGACCTCGTTTTTGGCTCGAGCGTACTCGGGCACTTTCGATCGATTTAATCGAACCCCGTCGAGCCCAATTTGAGCTCGAATCGACTCGACTCGAGCCTGAATTGACTCAAATCGAGTCAAATTTGGACTTAAATCTAGCCTGGTTTCGACTAAATTAGATCTGATTTAACTCAATTCAATCATACTAAGACTCATTCCCCTTTCTAGATGATTTGAATTCACTTCCCTGATCTGGTAATTGCATCGACGGTCGTGATTGCACGAAATTGTCGTTTCAGCCAAAATCCCGCTTCGCAGGCGATTCTCTGTGTCTCGAGCAGACATCGAGCAGCGAGCGAAGCCTTTTTTAGAAGATTTACGGAAGCTGGAGCAGGGACGACGTTTGGCGGGCTTCCTTTCTCGGCAGAAAGTTTCGTTTTACTCGGAATGAAGACCCTCTCTCTCGGCATTCCTCCCCAACTCTCTCAATCTCGATCTCTCTCTCACGCCTCTTCACGCGAGCTCCAGGAGAAAACCCGACGCCTTCTCCCTCTCAATCGCCCGAACTCCCTTTCTCTCGGTCTTCTCTGTTCAAAGACACGCCCGACCCCCTCTCCCTCTCGTTTTCTTCCGATCGCACGATCCCAGGCCGGAACCAGCCCGGCTCCCTTCCTTCCTTGCTCTCGTTCGGAACCAGCCAGACGCCCCTGCTCGTGGGCTCCGGTCGCACCTCCACGTCCGAACCAGCCCAGGTCTCCGTCTCCCTCCATTTGTGCGACCAGCAACGACGCCGGAAGCTGCCAAACCCCTCTTTGTGAGTTTTCTTTTTCTCCTTCTTGTTTTTCTTCTTCTTCTTCATCTTCTTCTTCCTTCCTCCCCTTCTTCTTCCTCCCTAGTCTTCTTCTCCTTCTTCTTTTCTCAACCTCTACGCCTTCTCCTTTACAAAAATCTGAGAATCGTTTTGTTGCTTGAGTTTTATTTCTCTTTGTTTCATTTATGTGTATTTGTGAGACGATTATTGCATAAATTTTAAGTCGTTTTGTAGGGTTCATGGTGTATATGTCATTACACCCTTTGCTCTATGGATTTCTAAGTAAATACATTCACTCCCCATAGTAAATTCCATGATAGCGTTGAAATTCCTTACAAAAATCTGAGAATGAAATTTCTTTAAATTGTTCTTTTGATCCTTAGGCCTATGTCTTGTTGATGAAGTAATGATCTTATGGATTTTGTTAAGACTTTGGTGAGTTGATTAGAAAATGCTAGTTGTGATTTAGGTGTGAACTATCCTTCTTATGTGGACTTGTTTTATAACTTTGCAAACATTGCACTTTAAATGTTTGATTAAATTTCATAGGAAGAGGGTTGTGATGCTTAGTTAATTGCTACTCATGATACTCAAGTTTGCATATAGAATTTCTTCACCAAATATGTTTATGGTCATATTTAGTGTAAAGAGTCCATTTCATTGCTTTTCTATATTGGTGAGAGGTTAGGTATGGCTACGTTTGCTAAAGCCTTCTCTAGTTTTTTCTTTATTTTCTTGTAAAAAAAAAATGATTGAAGTTGCAAGTACAACTCGTGGCATATTGGTCTTACGGCTTCTTCTCTTTCTTGAGTAATCGATTTTTTTTTTTTTTTTTTTTTTTATTTTTTTTAAAAAATTTTTTTTTTTTTTTTTGTTAACTTGTTATACAACATGTCTTACTTGCTTGGACCTAAAGACTTATTGCTAGCAGTAAGTATGGAAGGTTGTGGTGTTTTAACTTAAATTGAGGTTTCACAACGACCGTAACCCATAAAACATCGGTTATACATTTTATTTCTTCTTTCAAGTCAAAGATCTTTGTGAGCATTGAAAGTGTTGTTGGAAGGACTCCAATGCCATTTGCTACTCCTTTTATGTATACGTTACCTCTTACTCTTGTTTTCACCATGTTAGAAAGGCCTCGCTCATGTTGTCATGTGAAAGATAATATGCTCGAAGCATTAATACTTGGGTTGAAGTTGAGTCTTTATGTAATATGGCAAGTTTGATTAATGTTTGGGCTTCCCTTCTTGTGATAGCGACGTAGTAGTGGGTTTCATGTTGAAATCATGAGGGGTGCCATATTCCCTTTTCT